CAGCTACACTGTTAAGACGAATCGAATCTACTGTCGTGCAAGGTGTGCTGTGACTTGTCGCTTCTCTTGTGCTTGCACCGTCCTCATAAGTTAGATGCCTTGTGTATTGCCGTGAAACTGTCACTGGGCGGACATATAACCTGTCTGGATACCGAGATCCTCTGAAGCATCGGAGCCCCAACCCGAAACCAGTGGACCTGAAAGCCAGCACTTGAAAGCCTCGAACCCTTGGCCATGTAAAGACTCGGAGCCCAACAGACAAGAAAGTGTGTCGTGCCGGCGATGCCGAAATAGCCCAAAGGTCTGATATGGAAAACGCAACGATCCTAGATCTCTGCCGCTGTGCGACTGGAGCCCTGCATGGATGTACACTGCATAACCCCCGCAGAAGTTTTACGTGTATTTCTTCTCAAGGCTCTGGGAATTGTCGACGCCAACGCCGTGTCCGGGCTGGGCTGGCCCTTCCACAAACCAAGTCCCATAGACCACATGATGTCATATCTATGCGACCATTACTTGACATCCTCCAGGTTTGAGGTTGAGCACTGTCGCGACGCCAAGGTTAGAGCTTAGCATCAGGTTCGGAAGGGCCTGCTTCTTTCATAGTGCACCCGGACATATCAAACCTCAAGAGACCTGCACAGGCTGGTTCATGCTTCTGGGAGTAGTGGAACAGGGCCCAAGGCTCCAAGATTCAGGTGTTCAGGAATGCACGGTCTGGGTTTGGGTATGTGCTAGGAGGCGGCTCGGATGGATCTTTGGGCCCTGGACTCAAGGGACAGAAACTTCAGGGGGGTTATGACACTTATGAACAGAGGCATGCATGTCAGGCTTGACTAGTCGGGTACTTCCAGTTAGAGTCAGGAGGCCTGCTCTAAGCCAGCCTGCACAGGAGTCCGGCAAGCTGTGCTGCGGCAAGACAGCCACGCTGTCAAATTTATTTCAGATCCACTGCAGGTTCTTCTACCCTGCAGGCCGTGGCGCAAACAAGGCTGCCCAACACCATTACTGATATCTTATCTGCTCTTGTGGCAACAAAGTGCTCTGGCACAACCTTCCTGTGCTGCCCCCTTGAAGTGCGGGGCAGAATGCCACTTCAAGCTCAGGGCCGTTTGTTCAGAAGCACTTGTGCTGCCTAGTAGAAGGCCAGACTGCATGCCAAGGTCCTGCTTTTCTATGCCAAGAATTGCGAACAGCAGCAGGGTGCAAACAGCTGGCTGGAGGGCAGCCCCAGCAGCTCAGTGATCTTTGCCCAGCATGAGGTTTGAGCTAAATACCGGTCGTTGTTCAGGCGCTAATCCACTAATCCGAATCACGCGATTAATGCTGCTGCCGACCACCACCACCACAACCAGATAGCATTGCTGCGCTTCAGGACGATTCCGTTACGAAGATACCTGCAACGTACTCTTGGGCAGCGAGGTGCGGCGCCACGGACGAGTGAACCGTCCATCGGACGCTGAAATATCAGGGCCTGCTTCAGCCACGGCTACCTTGTAGCAACTTCACAATCTTGGGCTACAGGTTAAAAACATCGGCCAGCTTCAGTCTGGATATGAACTTCTGAATTCTTGGTATCGGTACTGCGAGAAGAATCCTAGGTTGAACAGAGAGTTATATTTTTTGATCAATCACTGTAATAACAAGTATTGTCTTTAGTGTTGCTGGCCCCTGCTCTGTGTACCTGCAGCCAGATATGCTTCTTGTTACTATATAATTCTGCTCCGAATGCTATTGAAACTGTGAATGCTTTGAGAACAGCTGATACTGCACAACAGTGCAGCAAAGGAAACCCCAGGATCAAAATAGTCCCGAAACCAATATTGAAATGGCTGGTGAGGTGTCGGTGCAACAAGCGTGCCCATCTACACGAATGATGCTATAGCGGAAAGAGCGAGAAGTGGCACTGGATGATGAAGAGCAGGACAAGCAAAAATGAACACATGTACAACAATGATCCATAAAGCAATGCATCAGAGAGGTGATCAATATCTTCCTTGGCCTCAAGCATTGGAAGCTGCTTCGTCTGCGGAACTGAAACGGAAATCCGGAGCTGCGAGGGGCCGTGCTCCATGCTTTTAGGCTGATCCATGCGATGCTAAAACAGTCCTCTAAATGTCCAAGAATCTCTTGAACAGGTGGATGAGAAAAGTTCTCCCAGGACTACTTCGACCAAGCTTCGGTGCTAGCAGCTCCTGTTGCTGCATCCAGCAAGCTCTTGCTACAGAGGCTTTTCATGCACCCTTAGTCAACTGTCAAAAACAGGGCCACTACGGACAAGACAAGGACCCGAGAATACATTGATGACTGGGTGAGTTCTTGCCATATGCTAGAAGGCCCGCACGAAAGTGTAACTTTCGTTCCCAACTCCGGATTCTTCGCAAGGATAGGCGAGCTGCGAAGTGCAATGCTGCTGTTGGCCAGACGCTTACGACTGTGGGGTGGTGGCGAAGGAGGTTTGATGGCGATGGCGATCGTAACGGTGATGCGATGACAGCGACGACACTGAATGTAGACGAGGGTGAAGATGAACAACAACGAATATGGTGCTGATGATGATGATGATGATGATGAATCTGATGCTGATGATGCAGATGATGCAGATAATGCAGATGATGATGGTGATGATGGGGAGGATGGCGATGTGGCGATCTAACCGTCTCATTTGCACCAATGATGGTGAAAAATGATCATGGATGCTGTTCTATACAAAGTCTACGTCCAGGTGCAGCATACGAAGGACAATGCTTCTGTGACCCATGAGTAAGGTGATACGATGGTGGTGGTGAAGATGGTTGCTGGCGCTGGCTGGTGGAGAGGTGATGATCAAGGCTATAGTGACAGTAGCTCCATGGTCATAGTGACCGTGACGTTGATGGCGGCTCGTAGTGGGTACCAAGAATGAATACTTGCGTAAGTGCTGGTCATGAGATGCATTGGTACTGCGAGTATCCATTGCCTCAATGGCATGAAGCATTATTGCCCCTGAAGCACGGTACCAGCAAAAGTTGAGACTTGCGCCAAAAATGTAAGAAGCTGAGGTCTGGCATGCAGAGGCATAACACGATATTCAGCAGCTTTGATTAATCTGTCCCAGATGTCATTGCCGGGCCGCTGAGAGTGCTGGAGGTGTCACCTGAACAGGGCCGCCGAAGAAAAGCTATAGGAAGCTTACATGGCTTACTCTTTAATCTCTGCATGCGTGTGTACTCTTATTTCTTGAGTTGAATATGTATACACATACTCATGCACTTAAGTATGATACATGTATACATCTCTTTCTCTTTCGTGACGGTGGGTCAGAGTTTGACGCAGCCGAAGACGTGCAATAATTAGAAATTGAAACAAAGATTTGTCTTTATACACATAAAAATACATATATGCTTGTACGTATACTCACACAGGAAGCCCACAAGGGTTCCAGAAGAACTGCATCGGAGGCACTCCATCAGCAGCAGCTGCTGCTACTGCAACTGCTACTGCTACTGCTGCATAATGTATTTGTAGTGCTACTGGTACTGCTACGGCCTCTGCTGCTGATACTGCTGCCGCCTCCACCAACCCCCACCAGCACGACTACGACCACCACCACCACCACCACCACCAGCTCCAGAACCACTCCCAGAGCACAACGACGATTACAACTGCCAATCGGAATTCCAGACTTGCTTTAGAAACACAGCATGTAACGAGTACCAAAACTGTAAAACTTCGACATGAGGAATGTCAACAGTGGAAGGACTCGTGCTCGAATGGAAGCTGCCACACACTTGGACTCGATCACATGACCTGCCCATTCTACGCCTGGCCTGGGGCGCATGTTCTTGTGCTGCACCACGACGGCGAGGCCCAGCGCTATTGCCTCGGGCAGTCGCCAAGGGGGGGCCGCCACGTTGAGGGTTTCGTCGAGCTTTCGAGCGAGATTTCTTTACGTGGCCACAGAACAGGCAAAAGACCAGCGGAAAAAGGCATGGAATGTGCTTGTGGCTCTGGGATGTCTGTGTTCAGGCTGAATTGCAAGTTCGGTAGTTATCAACCTCAAGAAGTTTCTCGCGTGATGTCGATGCTACCAGACGCTTTGCCCTGTCTGGGCCTTGTACAGGAACTATGCATGCTCCTTGTGCCATAGTCTTGCACCAGAAAAGGCACAAATATCTGCAAGCCTGCTTGCCTGTTCAAGCGTTCAAAACACAATATGACGGTGCTCCATGTTAGTGGTCCCAAAACCTGCATTTCTGTAAGTGCAACATGTTCAAGCAGTGTTAGTAACACTTGCCTTGCGAGTCTATTGTTCTCACCAGTCCTGCTGATAGCACTCGTACTCGTGCCGCTACAGATACTTATCTACGACGACTCTGCTTACCCATGTCACCCATGTCCCAGCTTAATGAGATTTAGTATCGGCATGTCTTCACTTGTACACATGCACATAAATTTTCGGCACCTGTGATCAAGGTTCTCTGAGTCTTATTGGATCACAGTCCATTTTATCATTCACTACCAGTATCTACAATAATCTCACCACATATACTCCCGTTTCATCATTTACTCACTTAGATTTACTGTAGGGCCAGAGAAGGATCGGCCTGTGTTTACAGGCCATCGGTTGGTGAAAGCAACAGCGGATCTGGTGTAAGGGCACGTAGGACGTGGAGACACCGGAAGAGGAGCAAATTAGAGCCGTCAAAGCACTCCCAAAGCTTCCCGAGGGATGATGAAACAAATGGCTCAAGCCTTTCCAGCCTGAAGGCGGCCCCAAACAGGCCTAGCAGAGGCGCCCACTGCGGCGGTAATGCCCATGTACACCATGATGGGCCAACAACCTGCGTCAGCGTGTAATCTAAAGAACATTCAGAAAGTACGTCAAGCGGTTGAAGAACTTTGCCTGTTTCTATCGAGCCGGGGCGTGGCCTAAACCATGATTGTGCAATGGCTCGCACATGGGCAAAGCGTTAGCCGCTCTTGAGCGTGCTTTAGTGGCGAGTGCCCGTGCTGCCGGGCTACACAGTGCTCTGGCTGTGGACCAACAACTGACATAAGATTGTATGTCCCAGGTTTACGCTGTCTGTTCCGACTGATGACGACATCCAACAAGTGAGACACACAGGCGCCTGGACACCCTCGGCCTCCGACCCCTCAAACCGATTCCAACGGCAAGTAGTTGCAGCCGTGGCGCGAGTGGTGCACGCCTCTTCCTGGCTTTCTTGTTTACCTCGCCTCAGACGGAGATGGTAGCTTATGCAAGGAGTCACGGAGAATGCCTCCAATAGTAGGCTGAGGCGCAGGCACTAGCAAGGCACGCGCATTGCCAGAAAGCGCCGTTTCCGAAACTGGGGCTGGAGGTATCCTGCCATTCCACCAACTCAGGCTTGAAGGCAGTTTTGCACCGATGTTCTTCTGCATCCAAGTTGCGCAGGTATCGCCCCGCTCTTCCACTGTGGAGTAGGGAGCCTTATGCGTCTGAAGACTGTGCAGACTCTTCAACACTGATCGCAGCCATTCAAACAAGCCGACACGACGGCAGACTGTCAGACTGGAAGCCGCCACACGTCACAAGACCTGAAGCCCTCTGTCATCACAGCCAGCAGCAACAGCAGAAACGACAACAGCAACCACATAAGCTGCTCCTGCTACTGCTGCTACTGCTGCCACTGCTGCTACTGCTGCTACTGCTGCTACTGTTGCTACTGTTTACCACTACCACGACTACTACGACACTACGACTACTACATACTACAACGACCACCACCAAGTACTGCTCTTAGCACGCGTAATCGTACCAGCTGTAGCAGTGCATTGGTAGTGGCAGTGACAGCAGTAGTAGTAGTAGTAGTAGTAGTAGTAGTAGTCGTCGTTGTGATGGTGGGTCGCGGTGATAGTACTGGTCGCAGTACGTGTAGTAGCCGCAGCAGTCGTCGTAGTAGTCGTAGTTGTAGTCGTATAGTCGTAGTAGTCGTCCTCCTCCTCCCCGCTGCAGCAGCAGCAGTGCCGCTAACCGGAGCAAAGCAGCAGAATGTAACTTGAAGCTCTGACACGCGTTTTCGCCTTCCAAGCTCACGGCAAGCTCCACACCTCCAGGTCGAGGTCCCTGGGCTTGGAATACCTCCAACCGTTTGGGTTTCGCCTGTTCCTTCAAGGGAAGTCGCGTTCATGGATTCGCATTGGGTGCAGAGCTGAGATGTCGAGGTTTCGGGTGTGTAAACGCCACCCTACATGAACTGACTGATGGAAGACATGTCTGCTGCGCATACTTGAGAACCCCATATCTGTATACTGCACATGCACACACACGTGGAAAGTCCATGGAAGCCTTTCCTCTTAAAGGGAACCCTATAGTACCCTTAGGGGCACTCTCTGCTCCGGAGGTAGTTGCCCTCATCCGACACTTCGAAATTGGACATCAGAGCTCCAGAGATCGCCAGGGCCTGGGGGGAGGGTTACAAGGGCAATTTGGGTTATTTGGGGATTCAGGGTTAGGGGTTTGTGGAAGTCTTCCTGGGCTTTCGGGCTGGTCTTGGATTCTGTGCACGAGAGGGCACTCCATAAGGAGAGTGTCCGAAACTTTTGGATCCTAGGCTGGGAAGTCCGGCCACTTAGGACGATCCAACGGGGAGGGAAGATGTTTTAGCAGGGCGAAATCAGCACCAAGGCAAGAGTCTCCGGGGCCGCAGCTGAAAGCTGATCTGCCAGGCGCGCGCGGATATCGTTGGCCACCCGGTGCACCTCTTGTTCGGCCTCCCAGCGGCTCAGGATTATGGCCCTCCAGGAACAGGGCTTCCGTATGCTTCCCAAACAGCAGATGATACAAAGGTTGCTGAGTTTGCCTATGAGACTCCACATCTTTCACACAACCTTTCAATCCGTCCGGCTCCTTGTGCAGCGAAATCTCGTCCAGGGCGGAAACATCTGCCTCCGCAACCGAGCTTTCTGAAGCTTTAGTTGAACCATGGACCATGGGCCATGGTATATAATTTGACGACGAAGCGGTGCCAGAGGGATCAGGGCCACAACAAATGAGAACTCCAAGATGAAAAACAGAAGATTGCATATCATATCTGGGACCTCAGCTCGGGCGGATCTCTACTGCCAGTTGTTGCAAGTACAGCCCCGCCAGTGCCCTTCGGTTGCAACCCGGCAAACCTTGGAAGCAAGATACTAAGCTGTGGCCGCCGCGTGCCGAAACCCACATCAGAAAGCACACATATCCTCAACCATAGAGAAACCCCAAAGCCCGACTCCGAACCCAGAACTCTGAAAGCTGCACGCGCATCCCTCAAACCGAACGCGCGGGGCCTGGATGCCGACGAGAAACCACAGCTCAGCGCCTCAGTCTCGAAGAAAGCTTCACGAGGGCGAGAACCCCAATACACTTATACGAACATATATATATACACACACATACACATATACATGTATACGTACATATATATATATACATACATCTACAGTATGCAATGCCATGATGATTTATCTACATATACATGTGCATACATATGTGTACGTAAAACTGTATGTATGCATGTACGAATGTATGCATGTATACACATTACATATGCTGTTTGACTTGGAGGTAGAGCCCCTGCTTGGGAAGTAGAACTCCCGTTTCAGGCACCAAATAGACCAGCCCGGGCGAGAGGCCGTTGAAGGGATTTCGCGCCACCGTCAATCCGCACCTTGCCGGCTGCTTCAGCATCTGCCGTTATCTTTAATCAACTCGTCTGTGCGGCCAAAAATGATACCATCATTTGCTCTAGATGCATATCAGTACTTCGCACGTCTGAAATGGGCAGACGTTTGCGCATGTGATGATCGACCATTATGTGTCATTGCAAGATTATCCGTCGCGACAAGGCAGTAGAACCACATGTCGGTGTGCAACCACGCATAAGCAGATAACCACTACACGTTATCCTGTCGCACTACAAAATGCTCCGGGTTTGTAGAAACCGATTGTGTGCAGCATGAGGAACGGCTAGGTGGTCTGTTTCTTACAAGGGGTGCGGGCATAAGTGACACGCACTCATGATCGAGTTAGTAGAAACTTCATGGTTCCGTCAGCGCAACAGATGCAGATCATAATCACCATCATCGCCGCCAACATCAGTGTCATCATCAACATCACCACCTTCAACACCATGATAGCATGACATGTTACAAAGTGGTGAACAAACCCGAGCTGCAAGATCTGACTGACCACAGCACCCAAAGGTTTCCGAGGGCAACGCAGGTCCAACAAATTCCGGAACAACTCCCCTGACCTGGGGTGTTGCGAGAAGGGTTACAATACGAGGTACGATAGGGCCGACAAGGGCACAAAAACGGGTACTACAAGGGTACTATTCGATTCATAACAGATGCCGTCGAATCATGTTTGTTTGCCATGAGTACAACAGGACACAAAATCATCTTGTTCAATGACCTGGTGAGCATGGAGATTTCGAGAATACATATTCAGTGCGTACTAGTGTCGCAGCTGTGGCCGTGCTGGGACGTGGTTTTATAACAATCAGTCTGCGTCGACTATGAAGAGTCTTGCTAAATACAAACGCCAGTAACTGCCATTACACCCCCTTAAAGCTCCACGATCTTCTACCCCCGAATATACCTCTCCCTCCAACAAGCTTAACACTTAGCCTCCCTATTCCGGTAGGACACCCCAAGGGTCAGTCCTGAGAGCTAAGCAAAAGCCAGCCAAGCCTATGTGTATATATATATATGTATATATGTACATGTATATGTATGTGTGTACATATATTTGTATATATATATATATAATACACAAACATGCTTTACACCCCCTGTATTCTGACTATGCTCTGGCGTGTTGACCATCCTTCGCCAGCCTTGCACAATTCCCTGCGTCACGTTTCGGCTGGCGCTACATCTTCATCTTTTCGGGCGCCTGTGACGCGTGAAACGAGGCTGCTGGTGATGTCACCAAATTCATAGTCATCCTTCCTGGGCTGGGTTCAAAGGCATACTCGTTGAGGGTGATTGCTGTAACAACGATCCCACACAGTGTCCTACGTGAAGGGCCCTTCTATACATCCGGCCAAACTTGTGGGATACCTGCTATACAGGTTTCAACACCAGGTCCAGAACTGTTGAAGAACTTCCATGTGGGGAGTAGGGGTTTCAAAATTCCTGAGCCTACCGGGGAGAACCCCTGACCCTAGAAAGTCCCGCGACTCCTAAGGGATTTCAAGTTTCCGGTTCCCAAGAAGAAAAGTTGTTGACAAACAGCAAGCTGCCCCGTTATCTGCTTGACCGCTGAGCTTGCCGCACCTGAGATCTTATCTGCAGCAGCTTTGGTGATGTCTCCAAATTTGTAATCCTCTTTCCCGGTGAACTTTGAGACCGTGGCCTTTGTGATGTCACCGAACTCGTATTTCTCTTTTCCAGTGTATGAGCTGACGCTGGATGTAAGACTGGATGCAAATTTGGACATTGCAGCTTTCGTGATGTCTCCAAACCTGCATTGCTAGGGCCATACTCGACATTGTCATTTATTGGAGTTAAGTATGGCTTTGTAGTATCTCGCGAAAATTAATTTAAACCATTAAACCATTTCCAAGAAGGATCCAGAAGCTTGTAGTCTTTCTTGTTAGTGAAGTCCTGGACGCCCTTGCTGGCAGCCTCCATACAATCCTGTACCAAATTCGTGGCAGTCTGTGCATCTTGGACCGCCATGAGCTCAACACCAACCACCAGGGAGACCACCAATCTGACCAAACCCAGGCCCCAGCGTCTCCGAGCCTTCAGCAGAGAGCTACGAAGTCGCTGCCCAAGCCGCAGCCTGTTCTGCCTTAGCTTGAGCTTGGGCTCTCTTGGCCCAGCGTCCTGAGGGAGGCAGGCAGCTGCTAGCAAAGCCAAAGGCGCCACCGCCACCTTTTTGCAACCGGGACAGCTTGCCACGCTCCGCTGGCGGCCCTCGACGAGTTTTGGAGCAGACAACGGAAAGCTGCGTCGGTGAAGTATAGGCGGCGCCAACATCGTTTCTGCTTGTGTGTCTGTCTCTGTCCGTGTGCGAGCCTCCGGCTGAAACTATGAATTAAGGGCACACTGGCAGAAAGTTTACTCCTTCTCGGTGCTCAGCATTCTGTGGTTGTCAATCATGGTTGTTCAATCGCTGAAGCCAGGAGCCAGACATGTGCCCTGATCCGCAAATCTATAAACCTGAAGATCTCACCAAGAATCCACACAAAATCCAACCGCTGCATCACTGTTGTCGTGACCCTTCCGGGGTTGGAATGCACCAGACAAGATTTTATGTCGTGGTTCACGTTGTCAGGATTTGTGCGGCTTCGCCGCTACATCATTGCACAACTATAACGACGACGACTACGACTACGACACGGCTACGACTACGACTACCACTACTACTACTCCTGCTGCTGCTGCTACTACTACTACTGCTACACTACTGCTACTAACACCTCTGTTCCTCCGACTACTCCTCCGACTACTCCTCCTACTACTACTCCTCCTACTACTACTCCTCCTACCACTACTGCTACTGCTACTCTGATGCCCACTGCAACTCACACTCCTACTGCTGCTACTGCCGCTCTACTGCCGCTCTACTGCCACTGCTACTGGTACTGGTACTGCTACGGCTAGTAGCAGCAGCAGTAGCAGCAGCAGCAGGAGCAGGAGCAGGAGCAGGAGCAGGAGCGGGAGCAGGAGCAGGAGCAGCAGCAGCAGCAGGAGCAGGAGCAGCAGCAGCAGCAGGAGCAGCAGCAGCAGCAGTAGCAGTAGCGGTAGAGGTAGCGGTAGCAGTAGCGGTAGACCAGCCCCCCAGCCCTAGCAGTAACAGTAGCAGCAGCAGCAGTAGCAGTACCAATAGCACTAGCACTAGCACTAGCGGTAGCGGTAGCAGTAGCAATACAGACACCATGAAGCCGCTGATTGCCCACATGTTTCCCGTGTACAGATCTGCACAGGCACGTGCTAGCAGCTGGAACGTGTCCCACTACTCCGTGAAAAGATGTCGTGAAGACCCGCGAAACGTCAAAACAGCCGAAAGAATGTGTATTAATCGGGGACGGCTTTCGTTCGATACTCTCGGTAGTCCGGACTGATGGAAGCCTTGCCTCAGGTGGTGCTGTCCGTAAGCAGCAGCCACATCTCTGTCTCTCGCTCTGCGGCCGTGCTCGGTAGGAGTCTGGAACCACGAAACTGAAACTACTTTATGCAGGCATGTACACATGATATGGCTTGCTTGCCTGTCAAGGAGGTGACTATGCACAATTTTGTTGTAAAACTCTGAATGCGAGCAGCGTGACCCCTCCACATGCGAGCTGAACCCCTTGGCCGCCCGGCTTCCTTCTGTTCTCCAGCACGCCGGTGAAGGGCTCACCAGTCTCGACGGATCTCCTGCAACACATCAAGCGTTTTGTTGGATCCACGGTGACTGGATTACACCACAACATGCAGTGTACAGTGCGATTTCAGCAGCAGTGATAGCCGCCGAAGACATGCATCGTCGTCATCACTGTTAAGGTCATATCCATTGCTTTTGCTTTCGTCAGCTTCTTCGTGACCACCAGCACCCTCACTGTCAAAGCCACCCTGCCACAACCGCCGTCATCACGGACAGCATAATTGTCACTGTCAATATCGTCATCTCCATCATCGTCATCATTGTTCCAACCGTCATAGTCATCATCGAGCGGCATCGCCATCACCATCATGACTGTCATCATCACCACCATCACCGGTTTAACCAAAAGCAGCACGTGCCCCATCACGGCCATGCCTCACCATCAGCATCTCATCATCTCATCTACTTCTTCATCATTAGCACAATCAACATCATCACCATCAACATCTCAGACTCCTCATGATGCTGCACTACACCCGTATGCACACGCCCACAAACAAAAAAACATCCGGACACACGCGCACACGCACAAACGCACAACAAAAAAACATGAATACACGAGTGCACAGACACAAACAAACACCTGCTCACGTAAATGCATACGATTTGCATGTATATCCTGTGTATCTAATCCAACGTGATCTGATCCAAACTACGTTGCTCTAACCTGATCAAAGTTACGCTTGCCTAGGCTAACCTCATTTAGTCTAACCTAGAGAACGTTCATCTGCCCTGATCCAATCCTATCTAGCTAACTATCTATCTACATATCTATCTACACTGTCAATCTATCCATCTGCTTGTCGATGCATTTGGATTTTCAACTGCCTGCTTATGTGTATAAGGGATTACATGTACTCACGCCTATCTATTTTCCTTGTTGGCGTATGGCGTATACGTCTGCCCACGTCATCTATCGGAAGCATCGGGGTTACGGGTCTGGTGCTCAAATGGTTACAGATATGACGCCACGGCTGCTAGATCGCATGCTGTCTCTGTCGCAATGTTGGCTGTCACTTCTCATCTTCCCTGTATTCTGAGGAACAGGGGCCGGTCCGGAGTCGGAGGAGGTCGCCAGGCTTGCAATCGCAGCCCACGTTGAGGAAACGGCAGTTTTTGCCTGGGCCCATGGACTCACGCACAAAACCGAATCACCACTCTGAAAGGTCTTTGCTTCCGCTTGCAAAAGGCTTGACACTCTCAAGGTGGAGTCTGGCTGTGAAGAGTACGGATGAAACTGGTGCGCTCGCGCGACGATGCTTGTTACAATGCTGGTCACGATCGCTCTGTGGGCGATATGCCGTTCTCTCCAGGCTTGCAAGTGACAAACCTGTGGCAGTGCATGAAGTGTGGGCTGCTTCCCCCTTCTGCAAGTCGACCCCGAAGTCTCCCTGCGAGAAGCCAAGCTGGGCCCGGCTCCAAGGATTTCCTGACGGCAGTAGCCTGGCTTTCGGCCCCAGCGGATCAGCTTGCAGGTCGACGTCGGAGAGACTCCCCCTGGCCCTAGAATCCTCTCAGCCTTCGGCCTGATCTTCACTCTCAAAGCGTCTCAAATCCGGGAAAGCTGCCTGTCATGCTTTCAAACTGCTCGGAGATCGCTATGAGTGCAGCATCCTCACTCCTGCCAGGGTGGAGTTTAGGAATCGGGGCCGGGGCCGGTAGGGTTCCAGGCAGGGTTCCTGCTTCAGAGGCTCTAAACCTCATCCCTTCATCCCTCTGAACTTATGATCTGATAGGATCCTCACTTGAGCGGGAAATGTTGATGGACAGATTATGCGCCGTCCTTGGATCCCCAACTCAAGGCTCCCATCAACCCTCGCGGCTTATCTCTGGCGCCCATGCTCCCATGCCAGCCTAGGATCTGCCACTGTCACCGAAACTTGTCCATCGGCCTGGCAGGGGTGCAGGTCATCCCTTCTGGGCTTGGGGTTTAGGGTTTGGGGATTAGGGTTTGGGGATTAGGGTTTGGGGTTGGGGGATTAGGGTTTAGGGTTTAGGGATGAGGGTTTCGGGTTTACGGCAACAGAGCAAAACCCGAGAAGATCCTCATCAAGTAAACACGACCTCCATCGAAACATCAGTATTCCTACAGGAACAAGACAAGCATGTCTCTGGCCAACCCACACTCAATACATACACGCATGGTGATAAGGGTGAAAACTCCAACATGATGCTTTTGTGGTGAGGTCGAAATACTGTCGAACGATAAGTAGTGGGCGTTGCCTTGACAGCACGCCTCAACTCTAACGATTTGTGACTCGCGGCTATGAGGAGCACATGTACCAAAAATCACAAAAATAGGAGGTCTGCGAAGCTGCAATTTAGCAGTTTGTGCATCTGAACGGGCTCGCGCGGTCCTCTGCACAGCTTGGCCCCCGGCGACTGCAGCGCAAATGGCCTGTTGGATGCTGCTTTCGCGGACAACCTCTGGACATGCGGAAAGCGATTGGTCGAGGGAAGCTGAAGTCTCGACTCTCGACAGGATTCCGGTGTGCTGCCGGTTCTGGTCAGGTTCCCCTCTGGGCCCAAGCCACACAAAGGTCTTTGTGCAGCACAAAAACCCTTTTGGGGGCCCCGCCCGGGAAGTCATCACATCGATGTTGCTGCACTGCTTTGTAAAGAACTGCGGTGCCGAAAGCTCCTGTGGAGTTTGAGGCCGGTGGCTTGTGGGCCTAGACCCAATCTTACGGACAGGGAGCTCCACTTCACCCTCTCGTCGCACTTGCTCATGTGTGAATTGATGCAACCACAAATTGTCCACATCAAAGCTTCAGAACTCCCAGATATTTGCAGCTAGCAGTTTCGGGGCAGGCAGGTGTAGAGCCCAGGCGGGGTCTGCTGTTGTGGGCTACAATCTGTCTTCTCCAGCAGGTGTCTTGCCATTGAGAAAAAAGGAAGTGACGGAGTCTCCTCTAGCGAGTGTGTTGTAGAAGCATCCGAACTCACTGAGATCTGATTCTCCCACCTGGCTCGACATGATTGCTGCTGAGGGAAAGCCAGAACTACGACTGGGCATGACTCTTCCACAGTGGACCAGGATGTTCAGTCTCAACGCGACCAACAGGAAATCTGAAAAGATGCATAATCGCAGACTCGCCATGATTCCCGAACATAAATGGCAGCTGTGGCTGTAGCGGCAAACGAAACTCAAGACCTCCACCGCTCTGGACAAAGAAGTCTCGACCAACTGCACAGCACAAACAAGGCTCGGCAGGCCCCGTTTTCAGGCACTCAGAAGCCTGCCGCGTTGGGCAGGGCACCTGTTCAGCAAGAGCTTGGTCTCGGCTCGCAGTGACATCCGAGGGTCACAGGTGCTTCAGGACTATTCGCTGCTAAGTGGGACATCTGCACTCCTGACTCCTGGCTGAGCCCGTCGGATTGCCATCAAAGCTCTGGATGTCCGAGACACCACGTTCAAAGTGCAGTCGTAAGTTGCCAGGCAAACCCGAAGCCCTTCCCGCACTTCACAAGCGTCCTGGACGACGACATCGTCGTCCTCCATTCCTGCACAAGCGAATCAGAACAGGACTGTCAGAGCTCGACATGCCTCAGTATTTACAAGCTTTCCTATATCTTCCGGGATGTGCAAGCAACGAATCTCCCTCCTTCCCTCCGTCCCTGCCTCCCTAGCTTTGCTTTGCTCCGCTCCGGGCTAGAGGTGCCGACAGTCCCGACACCCCGCTCTCTCTCTCTCTCTCTCTCTTCTTCTTCTTCTTCTTCAGCACAGTCGGAGGGAAGCACGATTGGGTCCGTGCCCCCCTCGCGCGTTTCCGCGCACTGGAGGGATTACAGGATGGAGAGAAAGGCCGAGACTGTTTTCGTTCTGATTCACCGGCTTGCCCCCCATAACCGCTAACCTATGACCCCCAACCCGCCTCGTAGGCTAAGGGGGGGGCCCCCCTCACGCCGGAAATCGAAACTCTGTCTCGAGCTTGGCTCCGCACGTCAATCGCCGTATTGGCGAGCAGCCACTTCTCCACTATTGCACGACACTGCAACAACAACTGTGCCTACCGCTGCGCCCTACAACCTGCGACTGTGTGTGGCTGACTGCGGGCACTTCACAAAACTGTACAACTGAGGCTCTGGCGGCACCGTGTATGGCAAGCATCAGTACTGGCTACCGTGTCGCAGAACCCCTGCATAACTTAGTTTACAAGAGTGTTAGTTGTCGGTGCCCCCCCTGTTGTCGGCTGTGACCCACTGTTGTGGATTAGTCGGAGTCATCAGTGCGGTAGCTAGCTGGTACACTCTCTCTCTCTCTCTCTCTCTCTTTTTTCTTTCTTTCTGCTGGGCTTAGGGGTCCCGCAAGACCCTCACTCTCTCTCTCTCTCTCTCTTTTCTGCTCTCTCTCTCTCTCTCTCTCTCTCTCTCTCTCTCTCGCTCTCGCCTTCTCCTGCTTCTTCGCACAGGCGTTCGGGACGCCTCGCCTAAAGAGAGAGCCCGCGAACGCATTCCGGATTGCTGACCCAACCCGTATGTGACACTTGACTGCCGAGTGTGGAGGACTTTGAGCCACTCTCTCTTTCTTTACACGCTCTTCTCGTTCTTTCGTTCTTGCTAGCTTTCTTACTTTCTTGCTTTCGTTCTTTCGTCGTTCCTTCTTTCTGCCTTTCTTCATGGCTTTCCTCGTGGCAGCAGCAGAAGAGCAAGGAGGAGTTGTACGTAGTGCGCCGAGAGGCGGAGGAGGAGAAGGACGAGGAGGAGCACAGGCAGCAGCGGCAGCAGCGGCAGCAGCGGCAGCAGCGGCAGCTGCTTCTCCGACTTCCACTCGCAACCCACTCTCACTCCCACGTACGCTACTGCTACTGCTACTGCCACTTCTATGGTTGACTCGGCGAGGTTTCTGTACATCGTGCTACCTGAGGCCGAAGTGTGTAGGATGCCATGGTCTTGTGCTTGGGGCTGTCCTCCAACCATTGAACGAAGGAGGTAAGAGGTATTGCTGATCGATTTTGACATCTCTGTTTCTGAAGGTGGCAAACATCTTCCAATTTTCAAGCTCACAGCATCCTGTCATTCCAAGCCGCCTTGTTACCACTTCTTAGCTTGTTCACATTATCTTGCATGCCGACAGTGAGGGCCGGCGGCCCACATCACCTAGTAACAGGCAACGAAAGCGCCTGTGTCTATGGGAAAGCATGGCCTCTTGCTTGTCATCCACGCCGCCCCCGAGCTGGTGGCTGCTTCAGTATCTGAGAAACCGAATCAGCAGGCGCGCTCCAAGCGACGCCCTGGGAGCTCTTCGGCAACAAAAGCTGAGGAGGTGATCTATTCTACAGTCCCGAAGGACGGATACCTGGGGTGAGTTGGAGAATGAAACGGTAAATGGCCAACGAAGCCTATTGAAACGGAACTGGGTTTGGAGCCAGCGGCAGCGCAGACGGGCGTAATGAACCACGGTGACGCGTGATGATATCTTTCTGTGGAATGCTACGACCCTCCACAAGCCGGTGCCACGTTATGTTGGTCAGGTATATATTAAAAAAATATACAGTATAAAATATATCCTATATTATATACTCGAAACTATGCTACAACATAATTAACGGTTTGCTTATGCTGTATGTTATATAATATCAAAAGTTCGTACTGTAAGTAAAACGACGTAACATGTAACATGAAACATGAAAAAGGTAGAATGTATTGTACAGCATGCGTAAAAAGAATGCCTAGTTGTACATATAACGAACTATATGAACTTACTGTGTAGTATAACCTGCATGGTATATCCGTGCATGTACACCCATATATACATATATATATATATATATATATATATGTATATGGATATGATAGTATACAACTCACATTTTACAATACTGTATACAATGTAGAAGACCAGGTATGCAATATGCAACATGTAACCTGTGGCATGCAACTATTAATACTTACATATGTATACATATACTATGACAAAGGCCACATGGAATAATGTGTGTATATATGTACATCACAAACCATGTAATGCATCATACGTTGTATGCTCCGTAACCAATTTAGATATTGTAAAATGTATCATAGATTACATAGCATAGGCCATGTGCTGTTTATCAAGAATAAAGACCAGAAAACACTGCAGAGAATGCCTTGTGCACAGAGTGTTGGCATATGTTATGCCTTGGATACGTTGATATTTAGTTCAATATGGCCCATAGTGTGTGATGCTGTGGTCTACTACAGTATATGAAGGTCAACTAAGCTAGACCAAAAAGTCTTGGTTGTTGTACACCCTATATCATAACGATCGATATTGCATGGTGGTTCGGTACAGTCTATTATTTTACAGTGTAAAATATTATGCTACATTACAGTAGAATTAGGATGGCATAGTACAGTATAGTACAGTCTGGTAAGTATCGTATAGTACAGTACCGTATGGTATGACATGCTATAATATATTGCATGATAGCAGGTTCTACTTTATCATGCATTCCGCCTCTTACTATACAACATTATGCATATACATATATACTACGTGATGTGTGTTACATAACACATGACCCCTGTATGCTATAAAACACGTACTATACAATATGTCATGTATATACTATGAATGAATCATATATTATGGATTATGGATTGTGCTATGCCCGTTACGTTGATGCTACACCTGATTTGTTAGGTAACTCGTAACTCATATACTGAATCTTTTTGTACGTGAATAAGCGCTAACTTTGCAATTTACATTTTTTACTTTGCTGTATAGACTGTGCAGTTTACCTGTTATACTTTAGTTTTGACACTCTTACTTGTACTACAAGTTCTATATATTGCAACTCATGAGGAAGCAGGCTGGGCCAGTATGCCTCCTCTGCCAGAAACATTGCTCCCACTAGACTTAGGCGTACCATCTCTTCCATTGTGCTCCAGCAGCCGTCTCGATTGCAGCCCGGATTTTTTGGGGTTCAGGTCACAGCGCCGCTCAGCCGAGGCTTCTTCGCTTCTCTGGCCTCCCATTGTAGAAGACGGAACACCAACAAAGCTAAAGGGCAAAAACAGCCATAAGCAGTTCCAATCATTACCATCATCATGATGATGCGAATGGTGATGATACTGATGGTCATGGTCATGGTCGGTCATGGCCGGTCACGGTCATGTCAGGGTCATGGCAATGCTGATGGTGATAGAGATGAGCGGTGATAACTCATGGGCCAGCAATCCCGAATTAGGTACGTTGGAACTGAAGCGCCTTCTCCATGGAAAAGCTCCGTTATACTTGGGATTGCGGCAAAGGAATAGTCTTTGCTGGACAGCATTGACCTACTCGTTGGTGTGATTGTGTGCATTTCTGCACATACCTGAGTTGCGGTAGTTGTTACATCGACGCTGAAACAATGATGTAAACCGCTGCTCCAGCACTCCAACTCATCAAAAACCACCGATTTTAGCAATGCACCAAAGGAAGCATCCACGAGTTGGAACCCTGAGAACCATCCACGGTCAGACCGCTTGGCAGGCATCGCTGCCTTCTCGGATAAGTCGCTCCTGCACTGCCGAATGCATGACACATCGAAGTGCAGTAAAGATTTGGAGGAGTCGATCCAGAACTTCTTCAAAAGTCTCAAGCTCTGAGATTGGCACCATGAAGCTTCCCAAACCTGGACCTTAAATCCCAAATTTGAATCTGAAACCCAGGGCCCGAAAACTCGAACCTGGACCTAAGCAGCTTGGAGAGTCCTCGTTCCACTGTCCGAGAACTCCGCGCTGCCGCCGTCCTTTCGGATGCTTCGCACTGGAACGACTACATAAGCCGTCATACTCAAAATAAGGAGGGGGGGCGTGTGGGATATCGAAAAGGCAAAAGGTACCAAAAGGGAAAGCTAATGCTTGGTATTTAAGCCCCCGTAGTACACGTAGTATTTCTGTTGATTTCAATCTGGCTCTTGGTTTTTCGTTCTTTTCCTTGGACGAAGACGACCAAGAGAACTCATCGCCGCCCCTACTGCCAATCCTTGCTGTTGTTCCTGTTTCTCTTGTCATGCTTGGTGCTGTCGTTGGTGGCGATATTGATGATGCTGATGATGATGATGATGATGATCTTGTCACGCCTGCTACTGCTGGTGCTACCGCTGCTGCTTCTGCGACAACTGCTTTCGTAGTTGTGGATGCGGCTGTGGTTGCGCAACCTGTGGTGCTTCCCGAACAAAAAGCATTTAAATCGAAGATGCACGGCCCGAATAATTGAGACAACTGCAGCGCTAGTTCCAAAGTGTATGCACGGCTGACCCAGACGTCCAGGTGGCGATGCAAGGTTACCCAGCAAGGTTCCGCCAAGGCTAAATCGCAAGTTGACGAGCTCATACCTGAAGCAGGCTCGCCTTGGCAGATATCGTACCCGATCAACCAACAACGAAAACACCAGCATCTCGAAGCACGAAAAAGCAATAATTCGTCCAGTTCGTCCTCTGTCTCCAAGAAGCGGCGGCAACGGCGGGAGCCCTTCAGCACGGCACGGAAGGCACCGCGAAGGTTGCCTGCTCTCGGTTCAAATCCTTTTTCGAGCTTTGTCTTGGAATGGACAGCCTGGATCTGCACGATTTCTGGGATTTGGGATGTTGAGGCTTTGGGCATGTGTTGACGGGGTACAACCTTCTGTAGAAGCTTCCTCTCTTGCAAGGGGCAGCGTAAGCCCATCACAACAAGAAGCAGAAAGCAGTGCCTGCAGCTGCCGCCGTGAGAAAGAACGGCTCGTGGACACGACGATCGGCCTGGGTCCGAGCACGCAAGGAAGCCCCGTTTTTAAGCGATCACGCCCCTCTCCCATACCCCAGACTGAACATGTAAGCCTGTATCTACCTTGAGGCTTTGTTAGACCTGTCTCAACACATCTACATGCTGTAACTCCTGAAACCGTCGGAACGCAAGATTCGTCCAGAAGCGCGTACTTCCGAAACTCATCAGCTCCTCTACAGTACTCTACAGTCCCTCAAGCCGTCCACACACTGCTGAGCTTGCGACATTCAGTTCCGCCGCCACGGCGGGCTCGGCTGCCCCGCTCAGATAGGTGGCCCAGGCGCCATAGGGAGCAGAACGGAGGCCCTGCCGCGGGATCGGAGGCAAGAAGCTCATGGGTTCAGGGTGTGAAGTGGCGAGAGCCACGCGAACGGAAAGAACTCAACTTTGCCAGTCCAAACTCCGTCGCAGCAAAAGCCCTGCCCGCACCTCCAAAGCCTTCACCTGGCACAGGAGAGCCAGATGCAGCCCCAATAAACGAAATCCGAACGCCTAATCCTTAAACCCGAAAATCTAATCCCTCAAACATCCTCAAACCTAAAACCTTATGCGAGACGTAACATCACACCGCGTGTTGTAGCCATCGAACCCAAGAACCTGTTTGGCAGCGAAAGCCACCTCCCCGGATCTCCCCAAACAGCCATGAGCCAAACCCCGTGAGCATCCAACTAAGGACTTTGATACTTAGAATACGGCTTTCAGTTTTGTTTTATTCTTACAGGGGCTACGGTACCGTTGACGTAAGCTTCACACATCACTCCAGCACAGAACCGACCGTGCAATTTCGATGGTTTTCGAATCCCTCCTCGGCAGCCTTTCGCTCGCCGGCCTACGCTGACAAGAAACGTCGCAAATTTCCAATTCGCACCCTCAACGATGTTCGTTGGCGCGATGGTGCCGTGTTGAATCTGCCGGGGTCACGTCGGCATAGTGTGGCATTGACAGCCCTGCGAAGACCAGACAGGTCTCTAAGTGTTCAAGCTTGTCGTACTTCCGCCATCTTCCGCCCCGGCAGCTCCCTCTCAACAAGCGCACGTGAAGCTCCATCTTGCCGGATTAGGTTTTTGGTTGCTCTTCCCGCAACCTGGGAGGAGGTTGTTCTGGCAGACGATGAAGCAGTGACGGCGGCTGCGGAAGCCGAAAAATGCCCCCAGGAGATAGACATGATGCTCAAACCTGCAAGTGCTCGCGAGTTGAGATGCGAGCTTCTGGTTCACCAAGACAGAGGCCGTGCCACCAGCAGACTGAAGTCTTCGAGGGTTTACGGTGTAGTATACTGTGGTGTAGGATTTCAGGATTTAGGGTGTAGGACGTTGCAAGATTCGAAGGTTGAGGTTGGGAGCTGCGCTGTCTGCGCAACTTTGCGAAGCGCCGAAGCTGGCCGTCCAGGACGTGCCAGTTCCCAGTGGTCCAAGTCGCTGTAGGTTTACCGGCCGTCGGAGTTCTGCGGTTCTTCGTCCCCGAACTCCCTGCTCTCTGCCACGGTTGATTCGTGTCTCCTGCTCACGGAAAGCATCGGGAAGCTTGAACTGCACTTCTACTTCCTTGGACGGCCCGTTACGATGGCTCGGTCGCTTCTTGCGAGCATCCGGCCCGGCATGCCTGCAGGCGGCCTTTCTCAGCAGGCCTGGCTTCACCAGCCTCGAGCCTGGGCTGTTCCTCTTTGCACGAAGCACCGGGAGCCATGCTGAACTGGGGTCGAAGTTGGAAGGACCTTTCCACAAGAAGGGCTTCAGAACAAGAGATCTGAAGCGATCGAGCCACAATAGCGACTGTCGACGGAGGCTGAGCTCTGCACCCCACCAAACCCTAAAAGCGTCATGAAAGACCACGGCTTTCTCCGTCAAGCCACGAGATTGTGGTGCCATGTACCCGACTTCCTAGACCTCCTTGGAGCTTGAAGCTGCCGTCTGCGTAATCATCCTAGCACCAGTACAAGTATCCCATCGCCCAACTATGCCCGCCCGCCTCTTTGGCCTTGTAGGCTTGGAGCACCTCGCCTTCGCAAGCATCCGGCACGCCGAGGACCAAAAGGTCCACAGAAAGCCCGGCAGACACGAAGGCCACGTGGAAAAGGTGACGGGCACGGGCTGCGTGGAAGTCGCTGGTGATGACCCAAAGCCTCCCGACACTGTGTTCGCGGACGTACTCCACCGCCATGAGGGCCTCGTCCACGGTGTGGAGAGCCTCGAGACCTGGGTTGACGATGTGTTCTGCCGGAAGCCCGCAATCCAGCAAAGCTTGCCTCACGTATCTCCAGTGTGAGGTGGAAGTTCGGTTGAAGAAGCGATTTGGGTCGGCACCGCCCGAGACGAGGACGGACACATGCTGGCCAGCGGCAGTTAGGGCTCTCCAGAGGGATGTGGTCTTGACAGCTCGCTGCTGTACCTCTCCATCCACCTTGCCTTTGTCGTCATTGGAGGACCCCAGCTGCAGCAGCAAAACACGGCCTCCACAACAAAGGCTTGCATGACAACACGCTGGCCGACTGCACACTCTTTCCTGTTTCCTCATCTTGAGATCAAAGGCTCAAAAGCGAGCGTCGAGCCTTGGTCCTCGTCCCAAAGGCCTGGAGCCTGCCAGGAGCTTTCTGGGGGGGGAAATCTTCATCTCTCGCATGAGGAGCACATGTTGGAACGGGACAACCCGGTCCCAATCAACCGCGGAACATCCACCACAATCCCGGGCACCCAGACCTCCACCGATGCGTGTCGTTTCACGACCTCGGCTCCCGCTGCCGGTTAACCACGAGTCTGCAGTTGCGCTACATGTAACCTGAGGCCATCTGCCCCAACTTTGGCCCCCTCGAAGGCTCTAAGAGCACAAAAAGCTCTCGGCTTTAGAAATCTGGAGCCCAAGTTGAAGTCGGACTTTTCGGAGCTCTGGCCGAAGGGCTTCGACGATATCCTCCAGCAGGCCCTCTTTCGCCTTTCTGGTCATCACGCCCTTGCCTGCCGTGCGCAGGGCATCTGTGAAGGGATGCCAAACAGAATGCACCAGACCAGAGGCCACGAACTGTTCGCATTCCTCGACCTCTCCCTGATCGTGTGCGAAGTCGCATTTCTTGAGGCCGAAAGACCAAAACCTGTCCCAAAGAGCCTAGCTGAACGGTCGCAGCAGCGGGCACCTCTGCGTTCCAAGCCGCGCAGCAGGAGGCCTGCTCCGGCGATCTCGGGGGCTCGAGGCGCGAGGCTTCCATCTGGATTACAACACGGTTCCATCTCACCGGCCTGCATTGGCGGGGTGCCAGTTGACGAGGCTCTCCTTTGTTCGTGGAGCGACATCTCGTGTGCTACGTGCCCGTGCCTTGCTCGGCATGCATCCATGGTCTGCCCGCGACCCGTGACTAGCAGTCCGACCAAACTCAGCACAAGCCCAGACTCCCCAAAAAAGAAGCGCTCCAACTGCAGCCCGCTGCACGTACGCGGTGAGGTTCAGCTCCGTGCCCACCACAACTGTGGCGTGTGGCAGGCCGCCACTGAAACTGGCACAACAAAAGCGACAAGAATAGGCTTGCGGTCTGTGCGAAGCAAACTTTCCATGGCAGACATACAACGAGGGACTTCTCCACATTCGTCGAAGCACTTCATGCCTCGCAACATCTCCCGGCTGCAGCAAAGCGATGACGGCCGCCTCCCAAGAAGCGTCCAAGAAGAATCCGGGGGTTGAGGTGTGGTGGTCGCAAGCTGAAGTTGGAGTGCATGGGAGTGTCACTACTGTCGGGCATACTGGGATGGGCTTTGGGCCTGTTCAAATGCCAGCGAAAGCTGAGGCCTTTGATAGAGCTTGCGTCTGCTCTGGCGACAAAGGCCTCAGTGAGAGGCCAACCACCAAAACTGAATACGACGTGCAGTGACGGGATTCAGCGAAGGAGGAACCCGCGTCCATCCCCAGGCTTCAACAGACCGCATTTCCCAGCCTGCGGAAGAGCTCTCCTTCGTGCCGCTGCACGATCTCTTCAGCGTCACCGGGACCCCAAAGCGCCACGAGCTTCTGTCCTGTCTGACAGATGCTGTCAGGGCTCGAGGTAAAGATCTGTTGCTCTGATGCTCGGAAACTCCCAGGCCGTTTTTGCCTGCACGTGCCCAGCTCCGCGGCTCAGGGCGGCTATGGGAAACATAGCTCTTGGGTAAGACATAGCATGAGTTCATCGGTTGAACATCATGTTCGAAAGCTTTGAACACAACTATCCCACGAGCTGCAAACCGACGCCGTTTGGAACCGTCCATCGATTTCACAGAACATGCAGCGAGCTGGTCAGCTTGCAGGCAAGATGGCAAAAGGTTTCAGGACTTGCTTTCGCTGAAACACAGCCGAAAAGGCCCTTCATGCATGACCGTACTACCGCGGAAAGCTGACCAAAGGCCTTCGCAAAGACTCAAACTAAACGGAAGCCTTGATCCCTGTGCGGTGCTGACCAGCTGATAGGAGGTCGGCAGCACAAGAAGTATGAAGGGCCATATGCTTGGTCATGACCATATGCACACAGGGTATGCGTCTATAATATATGTATATATGTATATATGTATATATGCACAGACACCTAAATTCAAGCTTGCGCTCTCATCTCCACATATCTCCACAACGCCTACCCGGCTTCAGCTCTCAGCCGCTGGAGTTTCGCCGGCCCTCGCTGATGGTTTAGGGTTAAGGGTTTTGGGGTTTTGGGTTTTGAGGTTTAGGGTTTAGGGGTTTTTGTGTTTAGGAAAGTCTAGGGTTTGCCGAGAACGGCTTCCAGGATTGTGCTCAGCCGGCAGACCATCAGCTGGAAAGGAAACAGACTCTTGCATTTTTCTGTCGTTCAGGCCAGTGCAAAAAAGCAGCTCAAGAAATGACTTTGCAACACTGTGCACAAATTGCTGGTTTGTACAATATTGTACAATACTAAATGTTCTCTGGGTCTGTGGACTGTTTGCCACAATATGCAACAATATGCCGGTGTTTTTTGCGACATGACGCCACATAGCTAGTGCAGTCGTCTCACAGCAGCTGCAACGTCTTCTAAGAGCAGGGCATCACGGCCTACTTGACGAGCATGAGCCTGTTGGAACAATCTCTTTGCTTGAATTTCCTTGCACCCCCCTAGCAAAACGTCCATCCCTCCGCCGTTGTGCTTGTGGCGCCAATCTTCCGCTGTGAACCTGGACGGTGCTTGAGGCTAAAAGAGAAACAAGTGCCCCCGGTCATGTTCAATGGTTCCGAGAAGCGCTTCAATCAACGCTGCCACATCTTCGATGGTTACGTCATCCATGATGAAGCCATCGTCTTTGGCTTTACCTGGCGACGCAGCTGCATGTAAAAAGCAACGCGAGCGGCTGGGATCGAACGATCCACACCAATCGAGACAGGAAGTTTGCATTGGCAACTTAGGAAAGTGCGAATGAAGATTTCAGAGAGCTCCGTCGCCGTGTAGTCCGCAAGCCGGAAGCTGTGACGAATCCTGCGCTGCAAGCCCTCATTGGCTTGCTTGAAATTCTGCATCTCCGTAGGATAGCCGGCGAATATCACCAAGGGGTCGCCGGCTTCCATATCACGCATGAGCTCATCAATGGCCTCTTTGCCAAAGTCTCGGGGGCCCCCATACGAGAGGCGGTATGCCTCGTCCACGAAGAGGACTCCACCCTTAGCTGAGTTAACTTTTCTTCGGGTCTTCTGGGCAGTTTCGCCAACATACTCGCCGACCAGGTCAGTTCTCTGGACCATGACCACCTTATTCTGTTGCACCATGTTTAAGTGGTAGAGAATCTGGCTCAGCATGTTCGCGACCGTGGTCTTGCCTGTGCCTGGACTTCCTTCCAAGCTCATGTGGTTTGCCACAGGCCTGGTTGCGTTCGAGCTTTTGCGCTGGCTTTCTTGGTACATGAGCAAGCCGAAACTTCGAATCTTCTCCTTGATCTCACTTTGACCCACTAGGTCATCCAGCATTTCTTCCACTTCCAAGCCCAAGAGCAGCTCGCGAGTTGCAGCGCCATCCTTCACCCTCACAATCTCGTGCTTCCCATGGTCGCTCTTCTTCATTACAACGGTGTACTCCGTCATGAACACGGAGGGCAGGGCGCGTTCCTTGCAACTTCACTGCTCTTCATGGGACTTCCAAAAGGGAGAACACTAGCCGCCACAACCATCCAACATCTTCAACGCTTGCTGTTAAGCGTGGACTCCAGGCCCAACTGCAGGACCAAGGTCGCCACACCTGCCGCCATCGTGGCGCCTCCAACAGCAGCACATCTGGTGAGTCGAGGTGCGGCCGCTAGTAAAGACCTTCCCTCCAAAATCGTCAGGAGGGGGGGATAGGCGTTCCGTGCGACCCACTGACCGCCGACAATGCTGCCAAGCCAAGCAGCCCTTTTGTGCCAAGGCTTCCTCAACCTGAGGGAGCCAGTCGCACAAAGAATCCCAACACCTTGCTCTTCAAACTCACGACGGACATGCTCTGCATCCTCGCTTGGAAAGACTAGGCGTAAGTGGTGCCAGCCATCTTCGCGGATCATTGCTCTGACACGCTCAAGGAAAGTCGCCTCTCGGGAGTCTCAAGAAACAAATGTGACAAGAGCTTTCATAATTCCCTGGAATCGGGCCTTGTCTGGATAGATCGTGTCGCCTTTTGGCCCGCAGACTGCAAAGCACTCGCCAGGAGTCGTGGCCGAAGTTTGTGCGTCCCCGGTTTGTGCTCCGTACTGTGTTGCTCCGGGCTCCCGTAGTACAAGCGTGATGGTGGGCCCTTGCTCCTGACGTGCCTGGCTCTGCCAAGCAGCTTCGCTTGGAAGGATGGCATTGCGCAAGCGAAGCCTGTGCACAGATGCGCATGAGCTGAAGAAATTCAGCAGAGCACTAAGTTCACATCAAGATATCGTTCCCCGCATTCTGCAGGATTTCGGCAAGACACTTGAGATTCTGCTGGTCTTGTCCCGGGGCGACTTGCTGCATCACATCTTGCAGTGAGGGCACTTGGCCATTCCGGACAGGTATCTGCGCAGCAGGATTCTCACAACAGAAACGGGTAACAGTAACAGCCGCGCGGCCGAGATGCTGTGACCAGACGCCGGGTGCGGCTCTGACTCCACACTTCGACGGCTCGCTGCTCGACCCGCTGCATGGCTCTCGGAGCAGGGAAGACAGGTCTAGCTCGCCTTGCCAGCCGAAACCTGGAAGCCGGTAGTCCAAAGCATCTGCAAACTGCTTGCAGGTCGCACTGGTTGCACCATACCCGTGGTCTAAGGCATAAGCATGTCTTTCACCCTGAACATTCGCCGACAGTGATGACCGCCTGAAGCGGCACCGGCATGCCGATCGGCTCCATGGCAATCGGCACAGCTTCTGCGGGTGACCAAACACATGGAGAGCTGCGAGCATGGCAAACATTCAAGTACTCTCTTTGCAGGTTCAGCAATGGTGCCAGACGATTCAAACTACGAGCTCATATTAGGCCGGCTCTAAACTGCGGCCAGCAGTCATGCACGACACGCCGCTGACTCCCCTCACGGAACTGCTAGCTACATGTCCCGAAGAGCTCTTTCGAGCCGCAAATCTGCAAAGGGGCGACGTTTGGTGCAATGCTCAGCTCAAGCGGCTCAAGCTTACGTCAGCATGTCTGTGGTCGTAATCGTCGTAATCCGGCTCCTGTGAAGTTCTTGGCGACGTTGCTCCACCAAGCCTGGTGCCCAGCAGCCGAAATGATCAGCGTCACGGCTGCTGCATTCCTTCTACAGCACGAATACTGACCGTGGTCCTCAACATGCCTGGGCTTGATGGGTTGCATTTTTGTCATGGTCATCGCGCGAATCCTCTTTTAGCACGACGTAGCTTCGGACTGCAACGTTCCACGAACAAGCACTTAAATCTGACGCGCTGCATCTTAAACCCCCAAACACTCAGAGCTCGTTGTTGTAACTCTGAAATGCCCGGCCTGATCCACGTGGAGGCAGCTCCCGACCCCCGGAGCACCCACGAAGGAGTGTCCGCGGTCCCACATGGGCAACTCCACCACATCTGGCAATCGCAGAGAATAGCGTTGCGCAGCTACGGAAAACTAAGTGCTTCAAGTGGATCTTCCAATGGCAGCTTCGTTGGCGCCGGTGTTGGCGAGTGGTAGCACCAGCACTACCACGAATACAAGTACCAGCTGTTGCTGTGGTCGGTGGAGGAGGAGGAGGAGGAGGAGGAGGAGGAGGAGGAACATCAGCAGCAGGAATAGCAGTAGCAGCCACGGCAAAACTGGCAATTATTGGAAGAAGGGTGGTTCAAGAGAAGAATCCCAGGGCCTCAACAACATTAAGAGCTGGTAAAACCTGCGAAAAACTAACAAGAGCCTGCTGGTCCATGCGCAAGCATCTCGACAACGAGGACTTTTGCGCGACACCCTCCCTGCTAGTTTAGACAATTATCGAAGCCATGAATCTCTGCGGACCTTCCCCGGAATGCGAAAGCCGCAGCCTGTACAAGGATGGAAGGACACATCAGCGCAGTCTCGGACCTTGGCTTCACAAGTCTTGTCCTTTGAGCCACTAGTTATTCAACTCCTCCGAGCACTGCTTGGAACCCTGGAAGAATGAGGCCACGGCGTCCTTGTTGGTAAGTGTTCTGCAGCGCTCGCCGGTGAAGTGGTGGGCAGTTTTCTTGGCACAGTTCAGCTCTGCCTTGGCTGTGGGTTGTACGCCCGGGCATGGATGCTCTCTTCCCACTTCGCATTGGGAGATGGACGTCACTACCGTTCGGGCAGGGATGCTCTTTTTCCCAAGTCGTTATCATCGTGCGGGCATGGATGGACTTGCTTTCGCTGGTAGCAGGGACCTTGACATCATGCGGGAATGCCTGGCCACGCACATGTGGCGCTGAGGGTCCACATATTCGTCTACTTCTTCGGATATATGTTACAAAAGCATGCATGTGTGAATACATGCACACATACATAGACACATAGGTAAATGCATGCATGAACGTATGGATGTATGTGTACACATAAACATATACATCTACATCTACATACAACACATCGGCAGTCTGTATGTGCAATCTACCCGAAACCCTAAGCCGGCCCTGCTTTTGGGCTCGGGCGACATAGATCAGCCCATCGTCGGTTTCAGCGGCTTTTGCGCGAGTCAGACGCTGACACCTGGATGTGCACAGGATGCAGCGGGGTGGATAAACAACACCCCATTTGGAGCAAGAGTGGTGAAAGACTTGAGCCGCGGGTGCAGCAATTAATGAGCATGAAGGTGCATGCAGCTCGCTTGCTTCCCATCTTCTCAACTTCTCGGGCTCCGACATGCTGCCTCCCTTGATCTCGGTGCGCTTGCAGGAATATCCTTTACATGTTGAAAAGATCTGTTTCAAGGAGGAGGCTCATTGCTTTTGAAGCCCCCTGTTCTCCTCCAGATGTCCCTGGCCAGGTGAAGACATCGCCGTCCAATTCAAAGTCGGACGCATCCTGGAACGCCAAGACGGCCTTCGCAACTTGATGATGAACTTCTAAGCTTGCCCGATGCAAGTTGTCAGTGGAGGCCTCAACTCAGTGCCTGAACCCAAGACTGCGTGCTTTGAATCAAGAGCTGGCACTCGATTAGATTGACCAAGCCTGTGCTTCTGGACGGCATGCATTGCAAACAGCCTTTATTCTCCATCCATTGCAAACCGCTGGATGGTGCCAGCACCAAAGTGCAGGAACGGTGTAAAACAACAAGCTCTCTCGGGACCTAGGCCCTTCACAGACAGCCTGAAGCAGACTAGCATGCATATTATTGTACTGACAGTACATGTTGCATATGGTGCGAGACACGACGACTTGCAGCAACAAGGATACGACTCTACGACTTCACATGAGGGTACGAAGCATACGAGCAGCTGGTAACCAGCTGCACTGCAATGGAACAATAAGGTAAGATAATCTGCGGTATCATCAGAACCACCCAAGCCATCATAATCATCATCATCACCACCACCCCGTCCATAATTATGCTAATCACCACCACAATGAAACTTTACATGATTACGTTCGTCGTCTTCATCCAACCCGTTGCGAGTGCGGCGGCATCTCGCGTAGTCGCAAAGGTAACAACGACATCGTCGAGATTGCAGTGATGTGACAACTGATGGCACTACTGGCTTGAGCAACAGAGAGACAAGGAGTCACCAGTAACCACCGCTCAGCCGGCCTCCACGGCAGTTCGGTGTTGCGTGCACGCCTTGCAAGTGCACAACTCAAACACGCTCCCGAAATCCCCCTTAGCCTGGATTCGTGAACCCGAATCAAAATACCTGAGACAGGCTTCAGAACAGGAGCTGGGCGGCCTCCCGCAAGGCTTGGGGAAGCGAGGTCTCAAGCGCCAGCTTCTGGAGACCATCGCGAAGGATGCACATCTGGGCCTCCCACCAGGCCAGTCAACAACGGGCAAGGGCTGGGCACTTCTGGATATGGTGCTAAGCTACTAGGCTTGTCTTGCAGGCAGTGCTGAAGCCAACGTGCTGCGACTCAAAAAAACGCCTGCGAGTGGTCGGCATAGCGGACGAAGCTGAGGAAGCTTTCAGGCGACTCCACCACGAAGGGCTGCTTACAGACGTCCTGGCCATGCAGCAAGCTGTCACCACTTACCTTTGTGGACATGCAATCCGTGAAAGCCATTCAAAGTAGGAGCAGTGCACGAGGGTTGCTTCGGTGCTTCGAGCTTTCCCTACACTGGCCGCGCACAAACACAAGCACAGAAGTGCAGTCAATAATACTGTCTGCCAACCTTCAACACCTGTTCCGGCCAGCCACTGCTATCGGCAGCCTGGCAGCTATACTGGCAGGAGAGGAGACATGGGAGGTGATGAGTGGCGACAGGTGAAGGTAGCTGATATCGCAATGAATGATAGTCACAACATACACACGTATCAACGACAATGATGACAGTGAGTGATACCGACAGGATAACAACAATTATGTACAAGTGAAAAAGAAATCGTGACTCATGCTATGGCAGTGATGTTGAATCTTTGTAACCCCAGCAGTGTCCGACCCTCTGCATGCATGTAGAAGGGGCCAACGAGAAAGAGGCAGATGCAGCGGGGAGCGAGAGAGATGGAGAGGGAGATAGAGAGAGATAGAGAGAGATAGAGAGAGATAGAGAGAGATAGAGAGATAGAGAGATAGAGAGATAGAGAGACAGACAGATAGAAAGATACAGAGATAGAGAGATAGAGAGAGGGAGAGACAGACAGAGAGCGACAGAGAGAGAGGGGAGCCGCACCTTACCAACATAGCAAGCCTTGCCCGAGCCTGGTCCAAGGAGACCACTCCGGATCTTTCCTGGCTCAGCTACCACGATGCCAGAGCAGACAAGACAGCCCAACACAGTCCAAATCAGGACTCCTCCCTGAGGCACGGGCCTCGTGTGGCATCTTGCCATGGTCATGTTGAGTCAGTTTGGCAGTGGGGCACTGGGCCTGACTATTTGTGTTAAAGTTCGGCTGGGCTTGCGAATAGGCGGGGGATTGCTGAGCCTTAGACCTACAGCTTTAGAGGAGTCAACTCTGGGGTAAAGCTCTGCAGCACGCGGGTTGAGGGAGCTTCGCGCTCTGGGGTGCTGCGCTGTTGCAGGATCTTGTCATGTCCTTGCAGAGCCCGGGCCCCGGCGGCACCAAGCACAGTTTGTGCTACCTGCTATCCATGAATGCGGCGAGGCGGGGGCAGGCCAGGAACTTTCGAACCTTTTCTCCGCCCCTTCCTGAGCAGCATCCTCAGTGAGCGACAAGGGCAGGTAGGGAGGCTGTGCCCCCTGAGAAAGCGAAACGCTGGTCACCGTCCCGCAAACGTCCAGGACGCCGTTGGGTGCACCTAGGCTGGGCCACCTCCACTCTTCACTCAATGGGCCCTCCACCACGCACTTCTCCTCGCCCTCCTCGCAGCAAGCTGGAAGCAAGGGAATTATCAAGGGATCAAGACTTCTACTTCCTACTTGGCTACAGTAGTGGCCGTCCGCCCTCCTCGAATATGGAAAGGGTGAGGCTGCTTGGCCCCACGTCCAAGACCACACCCAGCTCTGCGCCGACGATGCACTCCAGAAGCGGGCGCCAGGCGATCTTAGCAAGCTCCCGGCCCCCCATGTAGGCCTTGGGCGGATCTCCACCCACCACAAAAGATCCTCGGTATCCGGCACCAGCACGTCCAACCAACACACAAAATCTCAATGGCTCTGGCGGCTATGGCTATCGGACCCTGCTACAATGAATAGATCACCTCATAGGAACTACCAAGCATCTGGGTAGCTGGTGAGCGAGCTCAGGCATGTGGCCATCGGATGACCAGAGTGATGCGCGGCGCTTAAGCTGGGGCTGCGGGGCGTCGTCTCCCTCCAACAGCAACGCATGCGGAAGAGGCCACACAAAGCCCAGTGCCAAGGTCCGGTTCGAGCGTTTCTCGGCCATCGCTTCGATCTTCACCTGGAAGAAGTAGCGCTGCCGTCCCTGTACTGGTGAAAGCTCGCTGGTCAAGGCTACTGCACTGATGAGCCCCTTCTGCCGCGTGGCCACGTCCAGGTAAGGCGTCTCTGTATCATCGCCCTGTCTGGACGTCAGCTCTATGTTGGGGCTGCACGTAGCGAATGTCAGAAGAGGAAAGTACTTGGCTGCCTCTTCGCGGATCATGTGGCGTGCCCAATCAACGGATCGCACTTCCACCAGCGCAGCGCCGCCTGCGCGGTTTCTGCAGGCGGGCACCCGCACGCGAACTGAGGGTGAGTCCCGCTTGGACAAATCCTCCAGCACTTCGCAGCTAGTGCCATCCACCCAGACCTCGCTGATGGTTCCCGCAAGATCTCGAGCCTCGATGACTACTTCCGCTCCGCTGCAAGGGATGCAGGCAGGCTCCAATCTGAGCTTCTGTGGTAGAGCCGAATCCTCTCCAGGCTGTCCAGACTCCCCGACCTTGGAGCTCGAGCTGGGCTCCTGAGCCTCCTGCGGCTCTGGCAGCTGGGGACAAAGGTTTTCCACGCGGACAGACTTCTGCCGCCCGTCGGGGAGCTGTACGAAGAGGCGACCGGCACCCTCCTCACCCTCGACGGTGACCAGAAGCTCGTTGAGCTCCACGGCCTTCTGGAGACCAACAATGCGTGCCTTTTGTCCCACCTGCAACTCCGCCGCTACGGCCTTCATGGCCTCCTCTGCCTTCGCTCCCACCTCCGCCAACACACCGACGTGTTGCCGGAAGAGTGCCAAAAGCGTCTGCCGAAAGTGCACGGGCCTTCGATAGATGAACGACTGCAGTGCCGCGGTGAGCTTATCCTCCTTCTGATGATGAGATTCCTTGGCACGCTCTAGCTTCTCCTGGTTTCGGGCGATCTGCTCTGTGACCACGCCCTTGGAGACGCTGCGCAGGGTCGCGACCTTCTCTTCGTAGTGCTGCCTCTCGGAGAGAGCGTCATCTCGTTCGTTCAGCAGGCCGGCCACTGAACTGCACTCCTTCAGGATCTCATCACAGCTTCCCATGACCTGTGCGAAGCCGGCTTTCTTCAGGGTCTGCTCGAAGGACTCTGTGACGCTCGCGCATTCCTGCACTAGGGCCATGGCAGAGGTGTCCACGCCGCTGACATCCAGACCGAAATACCTTTGAAGCCCCTGCATCAGTGTGGAATGGGCCTGCGCGACCTCGCCCATGTGCTCCGCGATCTTCATTGTTGCATCACGCACCAAGACTGCCAGCTGCCTTTGTGGCTCCACCGTTGCCTCTGCATTCTCGTAGTCCAGGTGCTCTGGGCCCCTGGTCCGCCGACGAAAGCGGTGGTGTGTGGGATCCATGAAATCTTTCAGGAGCGACATCTTGCGACTACGCCTGGACTACGCTATTTCTCCACGATTCCTGCTTGTCCCTATCAGTGCTTGCACTGACCTCTCCATGCTCTGTTATGAAGGCTGCAAGTTGACTTTCAGACGCTGCGGACAGGTCTGCATCTACAGCTCAGGAGCATCTTCAGGTTCAAAAGCTACACGCCGAACACCACATGACCAGCAGGCGGTAGAACCGCCGGCATCGAGCGCACCGCCCAGCCCACTGTCTCAATGTGAGCTCAACCCGGAGTTCACGAAGGCACTCCGTCTGAAAACGTGGAGCATCCTTTAATTCAGGACAAGAAGACGAAGCAGCCGGGAACTGCAAGGACCATCACACCTTTCATGAAAGAAACGAGCTCTGAGACGCCATAATCATATCAGGGATTCCTCGCTCAGGGGTGGGAGGCCAGCAAATATCCGGATGAGCCGAAGAAACGTTGCAGCCGAAGGGTTCGATTCACTTTTTTGGTCTCGGCGCGGTAACAAGGGTGTCACGGTTCAGTCCAGCATGCTGGCGGCATGTGCGAAGACTGTGTGAAGCACATATGGCCAGCAACGACACAGAGCAATGGTGATATTGGAGTACAATTACAACTGAACTTACTGAACAACTGGGCGCGCACACATGCTGTGCACAGCGTGCAAAACGCGAGGGGTGAAATTCCGGAAGTGCAGCTGTGAGGAAACATTTGCAAGATTTTTGCAATTTACAAGAGCCAAGTGCCAGCTGGCAGGACATTCATGTCCAACAAGCTAGTACGCGATGAAGCAGTCTGAACTCGAGATTGTGCTTGGTGCTGGAAACATGCATGGCACTGCGAATGGCTCCACACCACGAGCTTTCAGTGAAGCAAGATGAGCAGTTCGAGTTTTGAACCTCGGTCCAGGGTGTGTCTCACGTGCTCCTGAAGCTGTGGATTAGTGCGCAATGCGTCGAGGCTTTAGACGCATGCCATGTGCAGGGTCCCGCTGCTCTCAGACCACGATGGTATCCGCATGTCTCAGCTAGGACCCTGGCTGCAGCAAGCAGGCCATCACATTCCGAAGTGTGCAGCTGAGGATTTCTTTCCCTTGGCACGAAGGTGTGGTTGCAGTCTCCGTGAATGCCATGTATGGAGCGATGGTCCTTCATGATACGTTGTCTTGTAAGCGAATATCTGGTGCCTGATAAGGCTCACACGGCACGAGCCACCACGACAGAGGCTGAACCGGCTCACCCAGATGGGTTGAAGTCCTGGGCAGTGTCAGGTCCAGATTCTGATTCTAAGCTGCCCCATGCTCGCTGACATTCCTCCATCTTCTTGAGGAGCGTCTCGGCGTAGTTGGGGGAGTAGTACCTCAGCGTCTGGTGACTCCCCAAAAACTCTTTGGCGACTCCGAGCTTAGGTTTGGAGGGCCCGCAACAATATCAGAGCAAACGCCAGAGCTCCTTTGCCCCCGGCTGCACGATCTCTGGCGGGTAGAGCATGTTGATCTCCTCGATGTAGTCGTGAAGCTTGGAGCCCACCTGACATCGGAGCTGGCTGGCAGCAGCTGGAGGTTCATGGCGGCCCCGACATCCCAAAACTAAGCCCATTCCTGTGAAACTGGTAGCTGCATGGCTCCCTGACCCTCGACACCTTCCCACCCCGCTCTGCAAGGGACCTCTGCCTTGACTTCCTGGATTTTTTGCAGGCCACCTGATGGCGTTGTCAGAGTCACTTAGATGGCGCGGCCCTCTGGCTCGCATTGAAAGCATGGAGTGCGCCATGGTCTTCAAGATCGCACCTGACTGCACGAAGGACTTTCGGGCGTTCAGATCGCTCGGCAGCACCTGCAAAGGGAAGATGGAAAGCTTGCGTAAGGCAGCCAGATCCATTGAGAAAAAGAAGCATCCGAACCGTGCCGATTTAGTTCAGAGCTTCATGAAACTTTCTGAGGATTGAGCATCGTGCTTCAGAGATCTTGACACCGTTGTTTGAACTTGCGGTTTCTTGAAGTGCTTGCACCACTGCTGCTATGGACACGTCGGAACGGTAGCGGGCAGGAGTATGACCACGAGGCATGGTTGGCGGCAGATCTATTCCAAAACATGGTGGCGAAAGGCAAGCCTGCACCGACGTGTTGAACTGCACACAACACGCAGACCCTCGACCCCTTGGCCCATTCACAGCACCTCCAAGACCCCCCCAAGCCACCTTTGCAAACTGCTGGACCACATACTTCAAGATGTTCGGAGGTGCCTGGGCTCAGAGGGCTTGCGTTTTCACGAAAGTTTGATGACATCCACCGGAGCCGCTCCATCTCTGCTCCTGCTGTCGCTTCTTCGGTTACTGCGCTCACCATGGCGATCATCACTACTTATGGTACGGCTCATCCAGGACCGTTACCATCCCTCAACCGCATATCCCAAACTCTGCGGATTCTGTGCACTCGACCAAACGGCTCTGGAACCTTACATAAACCCCTAATCGCAGCTTGCTATGGCAGCAGCCCTACTTGCTTTTGAAGCAACCCTTCGTCTACAGCCCTTTAAAGGAAGCTCTGTGCTGCGGCCCGGGCCTCCAACAGCGGCTCTAGGGCTGGCAGATGCGTGCACTTCTGGATCACGCTCTTCAGAGCGCGCTTGGCCTGGAAAAGGGTTGAGGTGGGGAGCCTCTGCAGCTTCGGATCCCTTGATGCATTTGGGGGCTTGCTGGGATTCAAGCTTCGGGGCTTAGTATTCAGTGCTTTGGATTGAGGGAAGCCGCATCAGGGAGACAACTGCCCGAGTAACAAAAAATGGAGACAACATGTCGAATGACTATCACTGACTATCGGCCCATGGTCACAGCTTACATGTAAACAGGAAGAATACTTGCAGCGACAGTGACCAGGTGGCACACAAAATAGGGGTACAGTTGCCGTCGTGGTGTTTGTAACAGGTTTAACCACCACTACAACCACCACCTCGAGAACAGCAACAGCAACAGCAACAGCAGTGGGAAGCAAAACAGTAGCGGCGGCAAAACCAAGACTACCAAAACAAAACTAGATGTATGGGCAACTACTACAGCACGCAAACACAAATGGCAGCCATGATATGCAAGTATTAATGGTAGCACTGGCATGGGGTGATGGACGTTGCAACTGCGAGGCCGCGATGAGTGTGAGCAGGATCTTGCACGACGAACTCCTGCAGTTTCCAACTTAATCAGGGCAGATCGCCACCCCTCGCGGACAAAAGGAGAAACCTGGAAGCACTAAACATCCTTCATCACGAAAATTTGAAACCCAAAGACCCTGGAAAGAAAGGCCTTGGTCCTCAAGTCTTCGCTTGAATCCTGGTGCAGATAGACCTTCCGGATGCTCACACCAAGTCAGCGACTGCATGTTTGGGAGTCTGCGGGTTCATGCGCGCTGGACACACTTGCACCACAACCATGCGGCGAGCAAGCGAGGCTGCGGCTGCGAGCAACCTTCGCAGAACGTCCTCAGCCACCGCTGGTTGGCAAATGAACCAAAACTGGCCGACACCGACATTTGTCAGAACTGTGATCCACGCGTCTTTTAAGACTTATCAGGCCCCGACGGCTTCGGCAAGGGCACGTGCATGGTCTGGAGAGTGGCGGCCGATCCTCGGGTCCCGTGGGTGGGGCAGAAAACGTCATGGACCATGGAGCTGTCATAGTGAACTCATGAACCCGGGTCATCTTGGTACGTGCGCTTGTCTATCTCCCTCTCTTTCTCTTGGTCTCCTCCCTTTCGAATATACCGAAAGCAGGACATACCCAAATAACATATGTGTATACTATTATGTTTAGGTAGATCGCGTACCCAACGTTGCTGGCTTTCCTGACACTAGATATATCGACCCCCTACATACATCTACGTATTTGTGCATGTATAAACGCACGCATGTATGCATGTGTGCATGCGCGTGTACGTACACATACATACACACGCAGACGGACAGACGGACAGGCAGACAGACGGACAGGCAGACAGACAGGCAGGCAGACAGACAGACAGAGAGACAGAGAGACAGAGAGACAGAGAGACAGAGAGACGGAGTGACAGAGAGACAGAGTGACAGGGAGACAGAGACAGACAGAGAGAGAGAGAGAGAGAGAGCGAGGGAGGGAGGGAGGGAGCGAGGGAGCGAGGGAGGGAGGGAGGGAGGGAGGAGGGGAGGAGAGAATTACATACCTGGAACCGCCAATGAGAGAAACCCTCAAAACCCGAAACCCTAGACATCACACAAACCGCCCAGAAACCCAGAATCACAAGCAGAAGTATCCGAGGACCCCGCTGTCCCAAAGACCAGGCGGAGGCAGCCTGGCAACCATCGACGTTGGGGCTTCGTCTCAGCTTCCGCTCTTCCACCCCCAAGATCCCCAAGCTGCCTTCAGGTGGTCTTCGGGCTCGTTGATGAGGGCATCCTTGAGTGGCGGGATGCCCTTCGACCTCGAAGGGAACGGACTTCGCAACGTACCGTACTGGTAGAGTTCTGATGACCCAAACTGCCGTCTTTGACCACGTTCAATAAGCTTTTTGGCTCCTGACACGACGACAGCCAGCGCCAGTGTCTCCGAGAACCTTTGAGGCTGAGCTGCTGGGTGTTGTTTCGCATCTTTCAGCGTCCATGAGGCCTCCGAAGCATCCGAACCATGCACCCTCAAGTTGCTATGGCTGGCACTCCCAAGTGCTGCGACGAGTACTGCTCTTCAGCTGCAGGCTCCAATGGTTCGAGTAATAACGTCATTCGATTGTCGCTACTGCGCATTGTGCTCAGGAAGACCCAAGATGTTTCTGCATGTTTCCAACCCAACAGCCGCCGCCAACAACTTTCTCAACGTGTTGTTATGTGGCATACCCAACAAACTCGCCTTAGTTTCAAGTCCTTGAACCCAGACCCACTCAACATCCAGGGCCCGAGCGCCGCGATGTATCCCAGCGTCATGATGCCTTGGCTTCAGCAACTTTAGGGATCGGACCCCCCCAGTCCGGCGCTTCCACGAAACCTGCAAGAGGATTTCTCGAAAATAAATCCAGGGCCCAAGATGCCAGGCAGGCGGTTGTTGCCGCGAGCCTGCGGGGCGACGAGGATCGCGGTGATTCCGCGTTGGGGCACGGGAGCTTTGGTCCCGGGTTCTTCAGGGTTTGCTATCCAGCTTAAGAAGCTTCCGAAATCCGGAAGTTGTGTGCTTCAAGCCCTGGCAGCCGGACAGCAGAAACACCGGGACGGAGCAGGTGAGATGCAACTCACGACACAAAAGCCATCTGTAAACGGAAGCATGAGCTATGCAACGGCAACGCCCCCCAGAACCAAAAAGAGGGGCTCCGAAGGAGGCACCTCGGTGATGTAATCTACCATGGCGGCAACTCCACCGGCATTGACAATGAGCTTGGCCAAGTCCGGAGTGTGGCCTGAAGCATGATTTAAGGCTTGAGTATTCAGGCTGTGGGATTTGGGGGGATTTGGGGGTTGGGTATCATTGCGACACAACCTAGGTCTCCTGCAGCGAAACCCCTAAAGCTCCCGAGACCCCAGAGGATGTGCGAGGGCCCCTGCGCGCAATCTCGCGGATGCACGTGGCAGCGTTCTTCCGCACGAACTCGTCGATGTCCTTTGCAACAGCATCCCAAGGCTTGGAGCTTAAGGAGGCGGGCGGGAAGCCCTCGGCCCCGAAAGTGTATCCGCTTGCTCCAGGCGTCTTCGAATTGTTTTTTCTACAACTCAGTATACTCTGAATTGTAGTGTAGACTCCTACGGCACATAGGGGGCAACCAATGGCCCCGGTTGTCTGAGGGTTCTCAGGAAGATCAGGCAGTGAATCCCATCTGCCAATGGACCCTTGTTAAATAATCTGGCCTGTCGGCCCGCCTTCTCTACCGTTGCGGCACACCAAGGCGCGTTTGGGTTGGAAACCTGCCTATGAGTAGCTGAGGGACCATGATTAGGCAGTCCCGTGCCGCCTTCTACTACAGGAGAACTTGCAGCATGACAGCAAGCTTGGGAAGGAATGTGAGGGCAGGCTAGTTCGGCAGGATAGCACCGACTGCCCACATTGCCGACATTGCCCAAAAGAGGAGGGTGCCTGCGATTGAAAACTGTGCAGCCCCACTAGATGCAAAATCCATGCACGACCTGCAGCCTGAGAAGCACAGTGAAATTGAATGACGCATTATTCACAAACATGCGCTGCTCCAACTGAAAACTCGCATCTTATCCATGCTTTTTTAGTAGATTTCAGCATCGCCGCATGGAGCACGCAGGCAAGCAGTCACAGGTCCTTCAGGCAGTGCAAGATGCGCGGGAAGATCTCGGCCTCTACCACGACCTGCTTGTCAGGTCTCCACGTGATGTTTGCCGCAGCTATGCACGCTTGTCCGCATGTGATTTCCCGCGAGTGACTCCATGACTCACGCAGTTAATTTGGTTCATAGCACTCGCAACAGCGGGGACGACGTCCACAACGGCGAAGACGACGATGACGACGAAAACAAGTGCAACCACTACTTCTGCTGCCACCACCCTACCACCACCGCCACCACTCCCCCCCTTCTCGCACCCCCTGCTGTTGTAATTGCTGCAAACACCACCGTGACGCTTGTACCATCCCCCTCACCGCTGCCACCACCAGTGCCAACAGTCGCAACCTTCGTACTCAAGGGTTGAACCACTAGTTGCGAGTCGTCAGGGATGTGGTGCGCGGTTGAATGTGGCTGTGATGGTAGCAGCAGGAGGAGCAGGAGATAGCAGGAGCAGCAAGAGCAGAAACAAGAAGCGCAAGATGAGGCGAATGACGGAGAGATGACAACGACTGAACTCCGCAGTCTGACCTCTGCCAGGTCCACGGAGTGCTTGGCAATCTGTGCCAGACAGGAGCACACCTGCGTCAACCGCAGGCACTCTAAGCGCAATCTTGCCTTCTGCAAGGACTCTAGATGTCTGCATCTTTACAAAAGCCGTACCTGGCGCTTCAATGGTGCATCATTGTGGGAGATGTCCTTGGCCAGGAGCGAAACGGCGCCTGAAAGAGAGGAGCGCAAAGAGCTCTATTCACTCTATTCGCTCCGGGCAGCTGGGATGCGCTCCGTCGGCAAAGATTAGAAAGATACTGAAATCCCAGTCCCTGCTGCAACAGGCCTGCGTCCACCACAGTCTGTGCCAGCTCTGGAGAGTGCTTGCAGATGTCGCTGAGGGCAGACCTTGTCGACTGTGCCAGCACCAAACGATCTTCACATGTTGACATGACTCAAGGCGTGATCGCTCAACTGTGCCACATCACTTGACGTGGTCTCATATCTTTAGATCGCCTGTGCCTGGGTCGCCCGACGCAGAGATTCGCTTCAGGGTCAGTTCTGGCTCTTGGAAGCACAAGACCAGCAAAGGTACTGCACCTGTAGGCGAAGGCGGCAAACTTCGCCCAATTGTTTGGAGGAACTCTTGTTACGGAAGGATGAAGCCCAAGAGTCCAAGCTGGCACTCATCTTCAAGGTGGTATCTACGGTAGCAATCACTTCCCCAAGCAGTCCACGGCAGTACAGGCCTTACCCTGATGGAGTTGCACGCCCCAGAGAAGAATTCAAGCAGTAGGTGTTCACAGCAGGCAAACTCTTTTGATAACCTTCTGCGCCACATCCTTCGGCAGATGTGAAACAGCTGCTACGTGTCCTCAGGCAGGCCACTGAGTTGTCACACTCACCTGTGCGACCAAGGAAAGGTTCTCCGGCTCAACAAGCAAGTCACTCGGGCAAATCTCGACTGCATGGCTTTCTTGGCCCAGACTGTAATGCTAGTCCACTTCAAGAGCTGCCACTGTCTGCAACCACCGTCCAACCGTCCACTGTCAGTCTTTGTCTTGTCCATGAAACCTGATCTCCTCATTTCGAAACCGCCAGCCTGCTGCCGCGAGAGATCTCTCGAATCCTCGAAGAGAGGACAGCAGAGGGATTCCGGCAGTTGCTCAGCTCCTGGGAAGAGGGGCAGAGCAGCAGACTATCCGGAAAACTCTGGTTCAGAGGGAAAGCCCGAAGGCGGGTACTGCATTGCCACGGGTCTGCAAGATGTATCGGGGAGTTACAAAGCCTTACAATTGCACACGAGCCGTCGAGTCGAGACTGTGCACCACGCTGATGCAGTCTAGGATGCACGCCACTCTGCTGTGCACTTTAAGTTCTGCCTTGTGACGACATGACGACATCTGACATCGGGCACCTGCTCCATGACCCGCAGTTGGACTTCTGGTGCGGCGGCACGCATCTCTGCCTGCGCCGCCTGATCGGCTCACAGACGGCAGATGCGGGTGTTGGCAGGGGTGCCAGCCAAGCCGGGTCGGCTAAACCAGCGTGGGAACCAGGTAAAGGCTTGCGTTAGCCAACAACATGTGCAGTGTGAGCAGGTAATTGAGGAATGGAGACTAGACAACCACAACGACGCGGAGAACAGCAAGTAAGATCGGACACCGAGTGGAAGAGGAGAAGTGGGAGGAGAGGGAGGAGGGGCGCTTGCAGTGCTTCTCGGATTGTGTTTAGTTCGCAGGGAGCTGCTTGCAGATTGGCCTCGTCCACCTTATACCGGGACAAGTACTCCTCGGAGCACAAAGCCGAAGTTCGGCACTGCTGCTGGGCACATTGGTGGCACGGTCGGTCCTCCACCGTATCTTGGTGTACCGAGAACTCTGGCGCAGCAGGCCTCTGAGTAACCCAAGCATGCCTATCTGGTCTCGGTTCCAACCCGCAAACCCACACAACTAGCCTCTGCTACCTTTTAGTAACTTCTCGCGGGCACCATGAACCGGTCCGCACAGCAACTCTGCGCCAACCGAGTGTGGCACCGGGCAGAAACGGAGCGTATCCTGGCACCGGCTCCAACAGTGAACGCGAGACACCAAGATCCACAACACTCGGGCTGCAGGCTCAGATGGACCTCTCTGAAGCACCTGTGAGCTTTCCTGTTTTGTTGGCTTCTGGCACTTTGTGTCACAACCTGAGTTACGCAAACGAGCACGCCGTAGCTGAATGCTATCGTCATCTCGACCATCACCATCATTGGCGAAAGAATCAAACTTCCAGCCCACACGCTTCATTTGGGCTTCCATCATGTCAGAATACCGGATTAAGGATTGCACACGGCCCTGGACCAAAGTCCCTGGAGAACACCACGTCATACCAGAAGTCGTGCGCCCCCCCGCCCCTCCTGGACTTCACCATGGCGGAAGGGTTGCGAGCTTGGGCCACATTGCAGGTCATGACCTCCATGCAAGGCTTTTTCATTGCGGAGTCTCCAATCTATGAGTTCGCTGTTGGGGTCTAATGTGTAGGTGGACCTGGGCTAATGGAAGGTGGACTCTAAGCTCAGCTTGCACGTTCCGTATGTTTGGCAACAAACAGGGTCTGGGCATTCTGCAGGAAACTGTAGGACTCTTACGACTTCGGGCCTCTGCGCAGTGATGTAAAGTTGAAGGGGTAAGGCTGCAACCGGATTCAAGCTTTAGTTTGCATTGCCTGCATGGTCGTGACCAAGCCAGCAGAAATGCCCTACACCCAACCCGCCAACATACCCTGCACGCTGCTCCGACGGCGCAGACCAAAGAGGATAAGGTCGAGACGGAGGACGACGAGGACGAGACTAACGACGAGGACAATGACGAAGCTGCGGATGATGAGTTGGTGATCATTAGCTCTCTTACGGGAAAGACACCTCGTTGAGCTGCGATATCGGCAATGCCCGAAGTTGTGCCGCCACAGAGTCGTCGAGGTCCCACCTCCGAATGAAGTCCTGCAACAGTTCACGCAAAGCATTGACCGAGACAGTACAGAGGCAGTCATCAACGTCAGTGAAGCCTTGTGCATCATCATCGGCAGCATCACCATCATCGTCGTCGATCAGTGCTCAGCACAATCATCGTCTTCGCCCCTATCTTCAGGAGAATACTCAGTGTACACATCAATCAAAGGACACGTTCTTTTCATTCAATTCATCACCCGCGGACTGGTCACTGTGATCATCATCGTAACAGTGGTAATTACCAATGCCGTCACGCTCACCATCATCATCATCATCATCATCCGCGTCATAACAATCGGGCAAGGCTCGCCAGACGGGCTTTCGGACCAAGGCTTTCGGGAGAAACCTGTGTAGATTTTAAACTTCGCGGAAGACTCCTCAGCCGGGCTGGCGATGGGCGTCGCCGCTGCCCGAGGCGGCCTTATTTGCGATCCCAACCAGAGCGCAGCATTGGACAGTTCAGGGACAGAAATTCGGCTCTCCATAAGGGCGTGTTGGTAGAAAGACTCAGTCCAGATCAGTATACCTTAATATCCCCCCACCTTCCAACAAATAAGTCGCTGACAAAAGGAGACGAAGAAGATATCTTTCCATTAACCATCATTCTTGGTATCTGAGAACAGGAACCGGAAGTCCAACAACACGACGACCTCACCTGAGCCTCCCAGCCCGCGCCCTGAGGGCCGCCAACCGGCTGATGGGGGAGGTGGCTGTCCAGCGGGGACGTGCATGGCCTGGACAGTCGATTCAACGTTGCTTTTACGTTTCTCGACTGTACTGATGGCTTCTGAGGACGACCTGAATAGCTGTTGATTGTCACCATCAGTGCTGAGTAAGCACTACTGGTTCAAGCATCAGTCCTTGTTGCTGTCGGTTCCTCTGCAAGTGTCGAAGCTTCGATTTATAATATTTATACATTTTTGAGAAGAATCATCTCCAGATGGATATGCTCGTGGTTGTTACTGTTGATGCGGCGATCCGCAAAACTATCGCGAAACTATCATCCTAATGGTTATTCCTGTCGTTCGTGGAATCAACACGAAAACACCTGCTGGCAGTGAACAAAGAAGCCAGAGTCGCAACATTGACTGCCAGATGGAAATAGTCGATGACTTGGCCGTCTGGTAGTTTCTACATCCTGCTTGTGCACCTAAAGCCCGAAAACGCGGTCCACAAGACTTTCTCCATGGTCATGGTCATCCTAAGTGTAAAAATGGGTGGACCCAAAGCTTCGGGCCTCGATCCCGCGAATGCGCGAGATAAGGACTGCAGAACCTCGGCCAAGCCGGAACTGGCGGGAAGCAAGAGCCAAAATCGACTCGAAACACCGTAAAGACTGGACTTCCCCCGACCCTCAAGCGCAACACACCGCAAATACGGCAACCGAATCAAATGGGAAGGGAGCTGTTGTTGGCGTTGGTCATATCGCTGCCGATGATCACCTGCTAGCTTCCCTCAAAGTCTGAACACGTGGCTGAAGCTAATTAACGGAAAAAGACTGTGCGACAATGCGTCATCGAAAGGCAACTAAGCCAAGAGCACTCTTACCTCTCTGGCCCCCACTTTCAAGGGCTAAAGGGCCTGCTGGCGATCCACAGGCAGGGCGCGGAGCATCGCCGACGCTTCCTGGCCGAGACATTTTGGAATGCCCAACTACCCAAAACTACCTTGCGCCAGGCGGCAGGCGGGTCAAGAAATCTTTCTAGGCGACACGCTGCTTTCAGCCTTCTGGGCTGAAAGAGTCTACGGTGTTGGACAGGAAACATCTGCACGAGTTCGACTTGTTGGCGCATCTTTTCCTTGGTGAGTCTTCAAAAGCTATGCATTCTTGCAACCATGCCCGTGACGTAACGAACGCTGCCAGGCATGACAGAGATCCCAGCCCTAACCCGACCCAATGCAGCTTCTGCCAGAAACAGCACCAGCCTCGTCAATGTTGTGTCGATGCCTCGATGTTGAGGAGTTTGATGCACGCGGATCGTCACAGGACAACCGTTTCCCCGACGGTACCCAAAAGAGCTACGACGGACGGACCCTTTCTTTTGGATGGTAGGAAGCGCCTTCGCGCCGGGTCCGTCGCATTCGCCAGTACTAGGCTAGCCGGCGCCGGGGGACGCTTTTAGCTGCCCCGGCCCGCTGCCCGCCAGCGAGCGACGACCCGATAGTCCCAGAAAAATAAAAACCCAACAAGGGCGGAGAGGGTGGGAGCTGAAAATCGTCGGGGGACGTGGAGCAGGAAAGCGGCTGCAGCATCCACGTCGATTCGACGGTTGTCCCTACGCACATGAATGTGCTACACGACAACCGTTTCCCCGACGGTACCCAAAAGAGCTACGACGGACGGACCCTTTCTTTTGGATGGTAGGAAGCGCCTTCGCGCCGGGTCCGTCGCATTCGCCAGTACTAGGCTAGCCGGCGCCGGGGGACGCTTTTAGCTGCCGCCCGGCGCTCCCCTCACCCACTCTGCGCCGGCTCAGCCGACTCACACCGCCAGGTTCACCAACTCATCGGCGGCGTCGTTCACCGCGAAGTCGAGGTCGGCGACGGCCTTGGCGAGCACCTTCAGGATGGCCTCGACGGGCGTCTGAACTCGCCGCCATCCGGAATTCTCCGCCGTCGTAAGGTCACCCCGGGAGACGGCGTCGGAGACATTGGCCTTGGAGGGCACGCGCCTGAAGTCAGGCAGCCATTCCGACAGCGCCGCTGTAGACCAAAAGGCCGCCAGCACGCCATTGACGGCGGCGTCTTTCCCATACCCTTTGGTAAGTGCCCACTGGCCGGCGACGTTGTCGATGAAGGCCAGCCACCTCTGGGGCAGACGACGGGAAAGAGTGACCATCGCGAGGATCTGCGCGACGATCTCGAGAACGTAGATAAAGGCCCGGCGGGAGGCGAACACTTCCAAGAACTCCGCCGGGACGGTGCCGCAGTCGTAGAACACCTGGGTGCCGATGCGGACGACGAAGCCCCAGCCGTTCCGGCCGCGGGTCCCCGGGCGGATGCCGACCTCCGCCGGGATGTGACCTGCCTTGTGTTTCACCTCGCCGGGCTGGTAGAAGGCGTCGGCATAAATGATGGCCGCCGGGGCGCCGTCGTCGATGATGGGCACCCTCCTTGGCCGGATATCCGCCAGTAATGCCCTGAGGGAGGTCAGGGCGGCCCGGAGTCCCACCGACAGTGAGGACGACGAGGTGGCGGCCGCGTCGTGTGCCCGCGAGTAGACGGGCTGCAGAGCCGCCTTCCCCAAGGCGCTGAAGGTCGACTGGGTAATGAAGTTGAGCCTGCCCGCCAGGCGGTTGGCGGCGTCCGGCGCCAGCTCGTCGTTGGCCAGCGCCGTGTCGATGGTCGCCAGGACCTTCTTGAGGCGCTTCTCCGTCGGCTGCAGAACCACCGCGTCCGACTCGACGGAGACGAGGACCCCCTGGACGGTCTGCTGGACCGCCGGGGGTTGTGCCTTGGACGGCTTGGTCTGAAGACCGACGAGCTCGAAGAACTCCGCCATCGCGTCGAAGGCCGACTGCGCCGAGTCCTCCAGGTCAATGCCGTTGAAGTCGTCGACGAAGTGGCCGGCGAGGATCCAGAGGATCACCCGCTGGATGGCCTGGAGGGCGTCGGCTGTCCGGTTGAAATGCCAGACCGACGCTGCGGCGCCGAAGCACATCGCCATATGAAACCATAGGGACACGCCGGCAGGACCGGGGATGAAGGTCCCCGAGTGCGACGGATGCTTCACCGGCCATTGCCGGTATGCGTTGAGGAGGTCGTGGCCGAAGATCCTCGCCGCCGTCGCCGGCCCGCCGGCCTGGTCCACCACCCTCCTGATCATATCCACGAAGTCGTCGACGAAGTGATGGGTCGGGACGTCGTGGGCGCGGATGGTGGAGTTGTGGCCCGACCGGCGCCAGTCCTCGGCCCGGCGGACCTTGACCCCGCCGTGCTCGTCCTCCTGGATGACTGGGAAGGACGCCGCCGCGAATTCCTGGCCGGGCGGCGGTGGCACGAGGCGGTCCGCCCCAGGCCTGTCCAGAAGGGCCGCCGTACGAAGGTTCCACCCGTCGGGTGCCCGGGTTGGGCCGACGACTCTCCCGATGCGGGCCTCCTCGACGAGCTCGGCGAGGAGTGTATCCGTGTGTTCCCCGGTCGCCGCCGAGGAAGAGCGTCGTTTGACGTACTCCCAGTTGGCCGCCGCAAACTGTTCCACCGCCGCCGGGCTGGAATACTTCCCGTCGGTCCTGGTGCGCCAGCCGGGTCCGCGGCGGAGCTCGCCGAGCATCTCGAAGCCGTCGGTCAAGTCCTCCTGGAGGCCTGCGACGTCGGGGTACCCGACGAGAGTGAGCAGGTTCAAGATGACGGGGATCTGCGTCGGTCGAGCCTTCCCCGGCGTGGTGTAGGTGGCCCTGACGGACGCCGAGCGGCGCTGCAGCCACTCCTGTGTGTGCTCGGCCATGTCCTCGACGAGGTCGGCGACGTCCTGGAGCACCTCGCGCCCCATCCGGCTGAGGTCGTGCCGCCACGACCGCCAGAGCAGGAGAACTCTCTCGATGGCCGGTTCCAGGTCGGGCCGGCGGGTCACCGTGCAGTGCCGGAGCGCCGCCGCCATTTCCCAATGTAGGTCCGGGTCGTCGTCGGGCAGGTCGAGGTCGGGTCGGTGCCGGGGTGGCGGATCCATCGGCACCGGTCCTGCGCCGAACTGCTCCACCGCCCACTGGAGTGTCGACCGGCCGGGAGTCGCCGAGGCCGATGCCGTGGCCGAGCAGACGACGATGATGGCGAGCAGGCGGCGGGCCACGCCCACCCTGTGGCGGGCTGTGTCGTCGACGAAGTCCGCCTGGGTGTACCCCGTCGGCAGGTGATGTAGCCGCTCCTTGACTCCCGCCGGAATGCATTGAAGGCGGCCCACCGAATCATGCATCATCGCCTCTTCGGCGTAGTGCCATGGTGCGAAGCGGCGGCCGTCGGCTGCCCAGCGAGCCTTCGCCGGTTCGGGGAGCTTCTGGCGGACCCTCTTGGGCGGCGGTCTCCCTCCGGCCTCCTCCGCCGGGGTCGTGGAGCACGGCAGCCGAATACGACCGGACTCGACGGACTGGTGGAAGGACAACCCGCCCTGGGTGAGCACCTCCGACGGCTGTCTGGTCGCGTCGAGTCGGAGGCGGCGGTAAGAGCCGTGCTTGGCCCAGACCAGCGGCTGGCCCGTCGCCGGGTCGACCTGTGTCGACTCCAGGTCCGCCGAAAGCCACCACAGGCGCGGCCTGGATATCCACCCGAAGTCCGACGCGCAGACCATGACGGGCTTGACGCCGAGGGACTCGCTGACCTTGGCGGCGTCGGCGGGCTCCATGATGACGTTCTCAAAGAGGAACGCCACCCGACGGCCGGAGAGCTTCCCGACGATCTGGTGCAAGAGATCGACGGTCAGAAGGAATAGGCTCCCCCTCTCGCCGGAGTGACCCGACGCCGGGCCGATCCGGGAAAAATCTTGACAAGGGGGAGCGGCGGTGACCACGATGATGCACTCTCCGTCGGGGTCGGCCTTCCGCACTGCTGCCGCGACGGAGCCCGGGGACTCGGCGGTCACGTCGCCTCTGTGAACTAGCCACGGCAGACGGACTGACGCCAGCCGTCGGCAGGTCGCGTCGGTCTCCCACGCCATGGCAAGGACGGGCTGGCCAAATAAGTTCTCCACCAGCGCCGGAGCCGCGCCGATACCGTCGAAAAACGACAGGAGAATAATCTTGTGCGCACGCCGGGTGCGCTTGAGGGCCGGCCGGACGACGAGACGAGCCGCTTCGCTCCCGGGTACCTCGCCCTCGCTGTCCGAGCCGGGCGAGGCCCCGCGCTGTCCCTAGCGGCGGCGCTTGGGATCCTCCCGACGGCCTTCGTCCCGGCGGTCCTTCCCCACCGCGACGGTCGTCCTGGTCCCACTGGTCCTGACGGCCGCGGCCCCAGGACTGGCGCCAGCCCTGGTCGCGACCCTCGTCGCGACCGGTCTGCTTCCAGCGGTTCTGGGGCTGGCGCCGGTCGTCGTGGTGATGGGGGTGTCGGCGGTGTGGTCGTCCTCCGGCGGGTGGTTGGGTGGGCCTCCCGTCGGTGCCCCCGTCGGTCTCTTCGGCGGGCCGGGCTTGACGGCCGACTGGAGCGCCTCATTGAACGCCGCCTGGTCCGCCATGATCGCCGAGGTCACCTCCTCGAAGGTCCGGGCGAGGCGCATGGACATGGCGAGCTGGTGCGCCGTGGCGTCCCAATAGGCGACGACGGCCTCGAGCTTGCTCGAGTGGAGCCGGGCTTTGGTCGTCGACGACGGCCCATATGCCCCTCGGGACGAACGGCTGGTTCTCCTCCACCGCCAGGCCGCCGTCCACGAACTTGATGTTCTGTGCCCCGCCGGTGCTGCGACGGCCGGCGAGGGGGTTGACGACGCCGAGGGAGGACCAAGTCCGGGACGCCAGGATCTCGCCGAGGCCGAGCGGCGTGTAGAGCTTGGACTTGGTGTGCTCCCAGTGGATCCTGGCGAGCACCTCCTCTGCGCCGACGAGGCGCTCCGCCGGGAACGAGCGGGGCTCACCCCCGAGCTGGACGGCGTTGTAGCGGGCGACGAGGTCGGTCCACTCCGGGAAGGTCCGCGGCGGCTTCTCGCCGACCATCGTCGGCAAGGTAGCCGGCGGCGGGGCCGGGGCGGAGAGCTCGTTCCACTGCCGCCGGGCCTCCGACCACATGTGGCGGAGGATCGCCCTGACGACCGGCTGCTCCGCCGGCGACGCTCTGTAAGTCGTCCCGGCGATCTCGTCGCCGTCGCGGAACGGCTGGAAAAACCCGCGCGTCCACGTCGGACCATTCGTCGGCGACGAGGGCGAGGGTGGCCGTGCGGTTGAGAGACCGCGCCTTCAGGTACGCGACGAGGTCCGGACCAGCCCCCGCCGACGTGGCGAGGTCGTCGAAGTCGGTCAGGACGTCGGCGACGAGCTGCGGACCCATAGCCATGATCACGACGAGGGGACCGGCGGGGATGGACAGGCGGTGCGAGCAAAGGCGGGCTGCGGCACGAAACAAGAAGCACAGTGCGCAGCGACGGCTCACCAAGTGCACGGCACCGGTCCCTTTTCTCAGGACGACGACGAATCGTCGGAATCTGAGCTAGATGCCACTGGGGAGGCTGCCTCCTCCGTCGGCGACCCGACACCGTCAGCCGACGGGGCCTTGGGTGAGTCACTTGGCGGCTCCCGCCGGTAGCTCGGTGATCCTATAAAAACTCCGGACGCCGTATGGCCAGGAACAACCCCGCGCTTTCCACAGAAAGCGGTCCGACGAAGCCTCCGTCGGGTCGGGGGCGTGAGCCCGTTTCTGGCGCTCATTGTAAATGAGGTGCTCCGGCGGCGCGACGGCGACCTGCTTCACCGTCTCGGGTCTGACTGGGCCGACGGGGAAATAGCGACGGGGACGGCCGCCGACCTGGATCACCGGTGCCGGGACTGCTCATGGCAGTCCTCGCACTCATGGTGGTCGTGGCGATCCAGGTCGACGGCCCCGCCGGCTCTGATCACCACCGGCCGGAGGCACCTGCCGGGACTGCCGCGGCAGAGACGGTTGGTGCACGGGTGGCCGCACCAGCCCGCACACCAAATCTCGCCGGGAATCTTCTCCGGTATGCGGCCTCCCCGGACGCCGGGCGGCAGAGCACGCAGCACGTAGTAGGCCGCTGCGGCCGACGACGGTACCATGGCCGTTGTGCCGCCGCCGGCGTTGTGCTCGAGGTCCTCGAAGTGCTCCAGGTTGGCGACGGCGAGGGGCTGGAGGGATTCCGGCAGCTCCACGTCGGTCCTGGCGCCCACCAAGTTGACGGCGGCGACGTGGTCGCGCCATGCCGCTGAGCACAACATCCGACGGATGTGCACGACCTGCCGGAACTCGCGCTTGTGCCGGTCGAACTCGGCGGCTGGGGCCCCGTCACGCGGCCGCCGGGGCAGCATTGGGAAGCCGGCGCCGGTGACCGGATCCGCGTCGGGATACATCTCCTGCGGCGTTGGTGTACGTGCCCTGCGAGATGCTCCCGACGGTGCCGCCGATGACGGCGGTGGCGCCGGAGCTGCCGGCATAGCCTTCACCTGTGGCGCGACGGTGCCCATCTGCCTCGACTCCGCCGCAAACTGCTGACGGAGCTCCTCAGCGATGCGAGCCTGGTAGTCGACGGGCTCGGGCACCGGCGGAGTAGACGGCGGCGCCGCCGGGATCACCGTGGCCGGGGTGATGCGGTCCGGCAGCGTCGTCGAGTAACGCCGGTAGAAGGCGTCAGCCGACGGTATGTTGTGGTTGTAGGCCAGCACCGCGTCGGCACGACAGAGGAACCCCATCTGGTCCCAGAGCTGCGGCGGGCTGCCTTTGGGCACCGACGGAGCCGGTCGGGTGGGCTTTTGAGGATACCCACCCGACGGCATTCCTGCCGGTGGAAGATCTGCCGGGGACGCCGCCACTCCTGGAACCCCCGCCTGCGCCGGAGGAGGCGCTTGCTGACGGTCGACCGGGGGGTTCCGGGTGGGGATCCGACGGCGACGATGTAGCCATTCCTGCTCCCGTCGACGAGCTCGACGGCAAACCTCTCAAAGAATCGCCGTACACGACGGGTCCAGGTGCCGCGCCGGGACTATTGATAGCCTCGACGAGCGCACGCCTCTCCAACCCACTCCATTCGGAGAAAAGTTGGGAGAGGTCGTCGCCGGAGGCGACGGCACGGCGGACCATGTCGAGGGCGGCGACCACGTCGGCGGACTGGTAAGTCATGGCGACGAGAGGATCTACCGGAAGCTGAAAATCGTCGGGGGACGTGGAGCAGGAAAGCGGCTGCAGCATCCACGTCGATTCGACGGTTGTCCCTACGCACATGAATGTGCTACACCACAAGCTGGAATCGTTGACTACAACTTCAGGCTTGGTTCCTACCATGCAATACGTTAGTTCATCGTTCGATGCTGATGTTGAGACAGGGCGTCGACATCTAAGGATCGCATCTCAACGCTAGCATGAAGAAAGTTTACAAGTCTGAAAATGAAAAGTTCCCGTGACAAAACAGCAGCAACAACAAGAACAACCCTTCCCAACCAAGCGCCGGGTTGCAGGTATTCCTCGACTTGCTGCCGATGGCCCTGCAGCCCCGAAGGGATGGACCACAACACGGAAAGTGGCTACTCTGTCATGGCAAGAAGCAGAATTCACCAGGCAAGTCGAGGAAAATGACATGTGGCAGGCAATAGTAACAAAGACGTAGCAAGATGCCGAAAGTCAACACCACCCGTCGAAACAGCAGCTGGGTAATGAGACGCTCGCGAGACAAGATCCTTGAAGTGCAGACCTAGTGACTGAGGTTGTCAATGCAATTCAACGCACTTGGCTCGGAAGGTTGCATTGGTGCAACACACGCGCAGCTTCCAGCAGGCACCAACATGATCGAAGCACCCTCGAAGCCCCTGCATTTTGGATTGCTGGCAAGGCCTCCTCCTTGTGCACTCGGTCGATGCGTGAGAGCACTACCGCGGAGGGGTTCCGTGCATTGGTGAGATCAGTCAAGACCTTGGGAGTTGACAGCCACACGATGTCACGGACAAACACGACGGCTTACCGCCCCGCATGGAGCACCAAAACAACGAAGGTCTCAAAAGGAAGCAAGCGGACCAAAACTGCTGCTGACAAAGCTCCTACGCTCAATCCTCTTTCAGTATGTCAGGAACCCTGAAACTGGAACTACGGCGTCAGGCAACTGCCTTCTCCGGCTGGCACTTGCTGTCAACTCTGAGGGCTCAAACTTGCTGTCTGCTTGTGTTTGCACACCTTCATTCACCTACTTCCTACTAGCAACAGCCGTGTCAACAGTTTCGTGCCCCACCTGGCGAGACCCAAAAGTCTTCGACGGCTGGCACACGAGAGTTTGGGATCTATGCCCGGGAAGCAGGCGATGTTCTCCTGCTCTTCTGGCGACAAAGCCTAGGACCAATCAGAGCAGAGCGGCTGAGCAAACGCCATCATCAAGCTGCGCAGCCAGGATACGACAGCTACAAGCTTGAAGCAGCTCTTTCTGACTTGAAGCTCTGGGGTCATACACTACGGCCTAGCCAGTCTGGACTAGGGTCGGCTACAATACAAGGGCGAAGACGAAGAACCATAAGCTTCGCTGCACCAGATGTCTTGCACCCCTGAGCCCCCGGAACCCCGAACCCTGAAGCCCAAGAAAATCCCAGGGCAGAGGCCCTGGCTCGCAGTCTGTCCGCAGCAGAATGGTCAAGGCCGTGTCTCGCGATGAAGCTCTCCACCTTTCAGACTGTCAACTTTTGGACTTTTTAGGGTTGGAGGAGGAGCTGTCTGTGCAGATGCAGTTTTGAGTACAACGTCTTTGGTGTCAGGTTGCTCTTGGATCTACACTAGGTCGTGCCAAGGCCAACGAGCTTGATCGAAAGTAGATGTTCCTGCTTCCACACAAACCGTAGAGTCAGCGAGGCTTGGATGCTTGAAGAAGATCAGGGAAGGACCTTTTAGGGAAGCACCTCGGGGTTACAGTGATGCTCTCAGAATGTCATAACCGTGGCTGAAGCAGACGTGATTGAATCTGTTTGCGTGTTCCTGGTGCACAGTGAGACTCTGAAAGAAATACCCTGTGCCTCGTCTGAGCTGACTCCACCATGTGGCATGTAGGGGAGCGCCTTCGGAATTCTGTGTTTTGGGATACACCTGCAGTAGTCATCATGACTACCACTATCACGAGTGAGTCTGCCTTCCGTACTGGTGCAAATGAAACATTGCTGGCTCTTCTTGTCGCGGCCAAGCTCGTCTACAGTAGCTTTAGCTTGGGATTTCCTGAATGTGCTCCTTCAAACTGTGAAAGCACAGCAAATGAAGAAAAATGCCTGCCTACAACTGCCTCTTCCGAGCGAACAGAAGACGTTCCTCCCGTGCCTCGCCCATCCTTGGCGCACCAAAGCGGCTGGCTGGGATGGCGCTGCCGGGCCTGCGGCGCAGATGTAAAGCACGCGAAACTGCCACGGTAAGGCTTCATCTAAGGCAGCTCGAGGCTGCCGGAGGAACTGGGCCTTGCGATGCAGCGTACAAGCCGTCTTTTGGTTTTTCGGCCTCTGCATCCTCCGTGGGCTTCTGCTTCGTTCGGGCGGCTGTCCCCTGCATGCAGCGACTTGGCAGCAGCATCGGGAGCTTGTTTTGGTGGTGCTGGCTGATGACAGCACTGACACTGATCCCGTTTCGCAACCTCGGCTTCAGATAGCATCGTCACCATAATGCGGAAGACCCTCCGTGCAGATCCAAAGCCCCACCCAAGCCGACTTTCCTCGAAGCACCTTGGGCAAACCACCCCAGGCCCGCAATCTGCAGAAGTACCCCTGCAACTCTTGTTCAGAGCGCAGATGACTGCAAGCTCGGGACATATATCCGGACTCATCCAGACGAAAACTCAAAATCATGTTTCATGCCACGGCTTACTCGCGACAATTCCTGCAAGCTGGAATGCTTTCATATTACATGCTCGGGGCAGCGTGCTTCCGCGAACCACCGACAAAGGTGCGGGGACCGCCTGAGCCCAGCACTACCACGGATCGTGACCTGAGGAACCTTCCGACAGGGCTTCGGAAGGAAGTTGGGTCAAGAGGTTCAGGTTTCATGAATTGTCATATTATGTTATGATGATGACACATTGCATCGAACTTCACGCAAACCCGAAACATGTCTGAAACCGAACTCAGAAGTTCCCACTCCTGCACCGCGAAACCACCAGACCTGCTTCAACCCAGGCATCATCCCGAATCGCCTCGGCTCGGGACACCACCTGTGGGGGAGGCTCCGTAAACTGCGCCTCCTGTCGGATGAATTCGGGGAGCGGGCCTAAGAAAAACTCGGAGCTAGCAATTCCATGATCTGCTCTGAGCTGGGCCCAGCTGGGGAAATCTGCATTGACCCAGGAATGGATCTGCACCCTGGTGTTGACAGCTTCAGCCGCGCACATGATAACATCTCTGAAAAGCAGAGCCTCCTAAAGCTTCTCTCTGCCACATACAAGCCTTTTGTCAGGTAAGTCTCACTGACTTGATTTCAGAAACCGTGATCTCAGAACCTCGTACCATGCGCTGGCCTTCACGAGGTGATTGATGCGGCTCAGTAGGGCCTCGGCTCGGCTCGGGGCGGGGCGGCTCTTCGCCGGGGGGGCTCCGGGGCTCCCGGACAGCAGAGGGATTGCGGATGCTCTTCGTCATGTCGGTCTTTATGAGCTCAGCCTCCGCCCGTCGGAGAGTCGGAGAAGTGGCTACCAGTAAGGAAACGACAGAGCTCCAACCGATCTCGCCAAAAAACCAGCTCTACTGCATCATCTTCACCTGCATTGCTTGCCTGAGCCTGCCAGTGACTGCTACTTATAGTGCCCCCTGGCTCGCAACAAAGCTCCCGGAGGCGCCTGGAGCTCCGGTGGCAGCTCCCGAAGCCTCGTGGCTGCCGGGATGTCCACGCAGTTGCGCTCCACGTAGGCCTGCGTTGAGGAGAGGATGGGGCGGAGTCCTTCTTTTCAAGAGGGGGGCATATGTCTGCTGCTTGAGCGAAGGCAGGCTCGGGCAAGCTGCGAGAATCTTGTTGGCTTTCAGCTATTCTGTCCTGCTTCGTGCAACCGTCTGACATGTCCACACACGCCGAGAATGGTCGGTATGTCTTGCATGCAACGAAAAGCTTCACACTGATTCGGGGAGCTGGCTGGTGGGTGTATCGGAACCGTGGCATGGCATTTGCAGTAAGGTGTGGTTAGGTTCAGAGACTTAAAAAACTCAGCGTTTCTCGTGCATTGGGTGCTATGTTCCTGCAAACAATGCCAGCAGCCAGGAGTTGCCACATTGAAGCTCTGCATTACGTGGGTTTTTGCCTTTGCTGGGTGTAGCAGGACTTAGGCTCGCGCATCAAACAGGGAGGCTACGGTATCACTCGTCCACGGTGGAGAGAAGGCCTCGACCTCTTCTTGAAGTGAGCCCGGCGCCCCGTTGAAGCCAAAACCAGCGGCTTTGCCTTCAGGGTTTGAAGGCTCGGACAAGCTAGCATCATCTCTGACACATCTCTCTGATGCCTAGGCCATTCTTTTAATGGGCCTCCATGGCCCTCCAGCGGCATGTCCTCTTCGGAGCCCTTGCCGAGGGGTACTGGGATGGACACTGCCATGACGGCCTGAGCAAGGTCGAGAGCCCAAGATCTCTTCATAAGACAGCACAGACCAGCTGCCATGAGAAGTGAAAATCCGGCGGCCTCGCAGCCGGGGCCGCCGAACCATCCCGCCCGCGACGGCCCGCGGGCTGTGACAACCTCAAGGCCGTGCACATAAGACGAGGTGAACACAAGCCTGCATAAAAAAAAACACTAGACTCACTAGACTCTGTCTTTCAGGCTAGCCTCACAAGATTCAATCAAATCTTGACCCTAGCCGGCTATGACGCATAATATGGACGAACTTTGTCATGATGCTTGGCAGAACAACTACACCGCAAGAATCATGACGAGGCGACAATTCAAGCGTCTGAAGCAAACCCTAAACAACATGCTCGTCAATGCAGATGGGATGACCACCTAGGCCTTTGGGGACGACAGCTACAGCAGCCACATGCAGCCGCAGCAGCACAAGTCACTGGTCCTTACCTCATAGGTCTCCAGTCCCTCCAAGGTCTCCACTGGGGTGGTGCAGATCGAGGCCCTGGCCGAGCCGTAGAGAAACGCACCGCCAGACGATATGTCCTCGGACGTCACGAAGAGAACGCTTGAGAACTTCAGGCCAACAGCCCTGAAGCCTTGGAAATGTGCACCTCGAACCCCCGAATCTTAGCAGATTGGACAGCTTCGCAAGAGATTTCGGGTCAAAGGCCTTCTCATCGTGAACTGTTGTGGACAAGGCAAGGCGATCGGGAGTCTGAGATCCTCTGCACCCTGTTTGGAGCCCCAGTTCGAATACCAAGAAAGCACTCGGCCGCCGGCTGTGATCTTCACTTGCTCTCCAGCCTGGAGATGTCGCTTCTGAGAACTCCATGGACATGACATCCAAGGAAGCCAAAAACCGAACGGAAGAAAAGAGAAGGCAGCACGCTGCGGTGAAACCAAAACGTCCGAGAACGCTGGGTCGAGACGACAGGCTATGATACAGATGCTTCCTATCAAGACCCCAACAGACTGGAGGACTCTCACATACACCCGAAAGTGCTCTTAAAACCACGATCTGGACTGAGATCCTACGGGAGTCTTGCAAGGAAGCCCTCCTTCCAGTCAACGGGACATCGACAAGGAAGAAGTGCATGATTTCAACTTTCAAGCCTCAGCCGTTTAGGGCGCTGCACACCCACCGACCGTACAACTATTAATCACGGAGTAGACGATAGGCTGTGGCACCTGATAGATGAACCGAGTCATGGTCCTGACCCTTGTCGCAGATGCTGAGACCCGGCGGTCTTTCTTACTGCAAGGATAGATTTGCTTTGTTCACTTGAGGGTCATTTTCTTGAGTTGCTTTTGCCTTATCACTGCTCTTCGGGCTGTGCTAACCCAAAGCTGGCCTGAAGCCTCAGGAACTCCTCGCCGTTGTAAGAGCCATCCCAATCTGCAGCAATCGTCACAACCTGAGGAAAGCATGCGGCTTAGGACTGAAGTTGTTGTACGGCGTGCAGCCTTGTGAACCACAGCATGTAGAGTCACCACAAATTGTTCTGATATCCGCCCCATGCGAAGCGGCAGGGGGCTGCCTAAAGCTGATCCAAGCGAAGCCCAAAGGAAACTCTAAGACTCAAACCTGGCCGGGAGCTGGCCAGCCACTGTCGGAGATAACGCGGCCCAGCGCCACCTTGCTGCTGTTCGTAACTTGGTGCTTTTTGAAATCAGGCCGGAAACACTCGTCATGGTTGCGAGTGTGTTGGGGAAGGTGTATCTTAGGTCCTAGATATCCTCGACCCCCCCCAAAGCCGCGTGCACTCTGCCTTCAGCTCTTCCTCGGACAGGTCTAAGTCCACCATGGCTCTAGGAAGAGGAAAGCGCTCGTCGGAGGTGTAGGGGTCTTGCTAAAAGCTTTGGGTGAGGTCTCCACTGGCAGGCCTAAGCCCAGTGGTGGTCTTCGGTCTGGGACTCAGCTCTGTGCAGGTCGGTTCTGGTGCTGCTGGTTTTCTGCGGTGCTGCTGCGGGTTCTGTTAAAGTTAAGGCCAAGACCTGGCTCAGCTTCGAGGCCTCTTAGACTCTCAGAGCCTATTGCCATGAGGCTGTGCTGTCCGGGGACCCGTCACCTTCGAGCCAGATGTCCCAAAGTCATGGCGATGGGATGCATCCAAGCTCGTGATCATCATATCCCCCAGATACCGTGGACCTGCGTCGACTACCGTCTGCGCCAACTCTTTCGTGTGCCTGGCAGGTTGCGCACTCCAGATTTCGTGACTTGGAAGTTGGGTTTGCCACTTTTGCAAAAAGACTTTGTTGTGGGCTTCGATGGGGGTGCGCACTTCGGGGAACACCCTTCACCGGGGAACACCATCCATCCATCCATCGATCGATGGATCTATCTATCTGTCTATGTATCGGTCTATCTACCTATCTATCTACCAACTACCTACCTAGGAGACTGAAAGCATGCACATACCTACCTACCTACCTATCTATCTATCTCTCCCATCAATCTGATCTACTTGACTATCAATCCATCTACCTGCAGAAGTATGGTTGCATGTTCGCCGGCGTTCTGTGTATGTATGCATGCATGTATCTCTGCACATATGCACGCACGCATGCATGGATGTATGTATGCATGCATATGTACGTGCGTGCATGTATGTGCATGTATGCGTACGTATGTGTATCAGGGCTCTGTACACCTAAACAGGGCCAAAGATCCAAACCGAGGATGCGACCTTGCAATGTAACCCAACGCCCACGCGGCTGCTTCCTGCCACAGCTTCAGCGTTGCTCTTGTTCCTATGACTGGCCCCAGGCTTAAACCCGAAACAGGATCGAGAGTTCAGGCTAGAGTTCAGGGTCGTGGCTTAAGGTGAGGTGTTTGGTTCAAGCAATGTTCCAGTATCCAAACAAGTATCGAGGAATTCAGGACTGGGATGTTGAAAACGTTTAGGCAAATGCAATATTCCGTGAGTCCGTTGAGGGATCTGGGCCGCAGGGTGGGTTTAGCAACTCCGGATTTGGTGTATAGGGTTCTGTGTGTTCACGTTCAAGGAATTAACCGCAATACAGACTGCGGGGCTTCCGTGTGCAAATGACACAACTCCCGCTGTGGTGTGATACATCATGGATGCCTTCCTGCTTACGTAGCTAAATGGTACCTTGAAGATGATCGGGTGCTGAGGGTCTACGGAGCGCACGTTTTTGACCGGGGAGCCGTCGTCTCTAGACAAAGCTGAATGCTCAAAGAGTTAACCCGACCCATTGTGCCGATAACAATCGGCAGTGTGACAACAGCCAATGATCACAGCGCTAGAAAGCAACACTGAGCATGAGAGCTGTAACCCCCGGCGGCAATAGCAACATAAATCCAGACAAAAAGAAACCCTCAAGCAAATAAATGAAAATGCGAGCCCCTGCCTTCACGGAAGGGTCGAACTCTTCCAGGCAATTTACCAGAGCCTCCAATGCTCCGGAGTCGACCACTGCCTCGGCCCACGACGTACCAAAACCAAGGTATGACAAAATGCATATGTTCAGGGCTGCCGGATCAAAAACAAGAACAACAATGGATCAAAAATATTTAAGATCGACAAAAGAAAAGGATCAAATTATAAAAAAAGGGCTGTCATGGCTGTAAAACTGCGGCTGCACGCTACGATTGCCACTACTGTGTCTCAGGGCTCAAAGTGATCGATGCCTGCAACTGGTGTTTCTGGCGACATTTTTGCAAACAGTATGATGGGAACCTAAAACATTCTCCAAAGTCAGAACAGCGGGAACCGCCTGTCGCGCGGATCCGTTGCAAACAGTAGAACGTGGGGACGAAATATGCATCCCACCGCGACGACGACGACGACGACGACTACTACTATTACTGCTGCTACTACTACTACTACCACTACTACTACTACTACTACTACTACTACTACTACTACTACTACTACTACTACGACTACTACTACTTCTTCTTCTACTTTTGCTTCTGCTTCTACTACTACTAGTAAGTAGTGAACAGTAGTACTGTTTCTAGTACTGCTACTACTACTACTACTACTACTACTACTACTACTACTACTACTACTACTACTGCTACTGCTACTGCTATTGCTACTGCTACTGCTACTATCGCAACAACGATCACGACGACGGCTACTACTACTACTCCTACTACTACGACGACGACTACTACTACTACTTCTGCTTCTTCGTCTGCTTATACCAACTAGAGCCGAATATTGAATACAATACGATAATGTTATCTTATATGAGACAGTGCAACATAGTATATAACACTATGATATGATACAATACAATACATTATACTATAATATAATATCGTATGATCTAACAAGATATAAACAGAAACTTGGTATAGTATGATATACAATGATATAACATGACACAATATGATACAGAGTCATATAATATAGTATAGTACAGTATAAAATGACAAAATATAACTTCATATTATGAAATGTTAAAGTGTCACATAATATCATACAATGTCTTACCATATGATATATCATAATACAAGAAAACCAAAAGATAATGTACTTTGATATAACTTGATATACTGTAATACAACAACATCTAACATAACATAAGATATTATAACATAACATAAGATAAAACAATGACGCACCCCGCTTTTGCAAACAGAATGCCTTTATGATGAGTTTTGAAAAGCTCGAAACCAGTTTTGTGTTTGATGCAAGTCTCGTTCATGGTGCGATGTTCTTGAAAGCCAGCCCCCATGGATTGATTAAAAAGAAAGCGAGGAGGTTGGGTGCGGGTGCAGCCCCCCCCTTTCCAAACACAACGTCTTTATCACAGGTTCTGAGAGGGTTCATATGCGTTCTGTCTTTGCCGGCAGGATGATACCTGAAGCGATATTGCACAGCTTAAAAGAACGGGGATGCACCTCCCGAATTGGAAACAGAATGCTTTCTATGATGAGTTTTGACTAAAACACTTTGGGTTTGGTGCAAGTCTTGTTCATGCTGTGATGTTCTTGAAAGCAAACCTACACGGCTCTAAAAAGACAGCGGAGGCGGTTGGGGGGTGGGGGCACGTCTTTATGACGGGTTCTGAGAGGGTCCATATGGGTACTCGAAGCGACCCTGCTCAACTTTCAAAAATGGCAATATAATTTATTTAACATCACATCATATAATATGACATATAGGGCCAGAGGACTGGGGTACGAGAGGACGAGGGATCCGGGAAGCCCATAAGCCCCTAGCCCTTCATTAAGCTTTTATTGTGTTTTTGGTCCTTTTTTATTGTTTAAGCGATCCCTTTCTATGTTATGTTTGATCCTTTCTTACTTTTTGTTTGATCCCTATCCCTGTTTTCAGGACTTATCTGGGGGGGGGGTGCCTGTGCTGTTATGTTTATACTGAGCCAAAAGTCATGGTACAAGACACTATTGGTTTGCAGTACTGGAACCTTGTACGTTGAAAACAGGTGTAACGCAATTCACATGCAGTTCTGGTACATGTATGATCTGACATGACACGAAAGGACGCAAATACGATAAAAACACAATACATTATGAATGTATATGAGATCAAAGAAGATGATACCAAGTTCATCATTGCACATACCGTGATGTACTGTACTACTGTGTTTCAGTGTACACTATACTAAGCCGTACTATACTATGCTATACAGTACTATACTTTAACTCACTTAAGTTTGCTGTGCTCTGCTCTGCTAAGCTATAAGATGATACATTCTGATAGCATGAATTTTAATATAATACAATGTACTCTATAATAGATACGAACTAAAACTCTGCAACTTCATGTTGACATTATGTGAAACATGCGAGTTATGCTGCGTGAGAATGTGCTATTCCTTTGCACATTATGCTATATAATATGCTATGATGCTCGATTATATTGTGCTATACTTCGGCTGTTATACTTTAGTATGTTCCGATGCATATCCTTTTTACATTGCCTCACACTACATGATTCTACGGTCATGTGGTCCGGTATGATTCGGTCGGTATGATGTAGTTGGGGTTGAGGCTTTGGGACGTGAGCATAACACTTTTGCTGTGATTTTAGGGTTGTTGGGGCGTTGATTGCGCAGGTGAGACTACAGAACTTCGCAGCCGGGTCCGGCTCGAGCACACTCCAATGACAGTGGAGCAAAGACATGCCACGAAATAGCTCCAAAACTAACTGCATCTTTCTGCATGATGCAAGGTGCCTGTGCCAGTTGTGGAGAGTGCTTCGACACGGCACGAAGGACGAAAGCAGCAGCCTTGCATCAAAGCACAATGATGCGAACTCGAAAAGGGAAATGCAAGCAGGCCTTCTTGTAAAAGCGGTTCTGCTGGGCCAGCGAATACCTTGGCCCAGAGCAGCTGGGATGCCGAAATCGCGACGCTTGCTAGGGTACCTTCTGATGTCGTCCATCTGCTGCAGCAGCATCCAGTTTCGTGGTAGAGCAGGCGAAGGTAATACTTGCACACTGGTAGTTCAATCCTACTTTCGGCTTTGCACAGGAGCAACCTCAAAGACTTGCTTGACCTCTTGCAGTGCCTGCTGTCCGAGATTGTTGGTTAAGCCCTGGCTCATGCACATCTCTGTTTGCGGGGCCTGACCTACGAGCTTCCCACAGGGTGTCCTCGCATCAACGGTCCCTTGAGGCTCCTTAAGTTGAGGATGCCCTTTTCTTTTTGGTTTATCACAGGGTTGTTGACCGGGATTCAGCCCGGCCAATGTCCGAACTGCCTCGTGAACTTGCATCTCATCCAAGCCTTACAATCCGCTCCCGAACTGAGTCCGACTGGGTTGCTCCACACTGGTTTCCGCTGCCAAAGACCAACCCAATGTGAGTTTCCCAGAATCAAGAGCAAGAAAAAAGCTGAATCCCAGATTTCTCAGACAGGCTGCACCAACTGTGGCAAGATCTCGTGGGTAACTACCGACTCGGCCAGCTCGTCACTGGCAGATGGGAGTTTTCGGGTCTAGCGCCTCTGGATGCTTATGGTACAGATTTCAGAGCTGCTTTGGGGTTCGAGGTTCGAAGTGTAAGCTTCGGGGTCAAGCAGATAAGGGCCGAAGCGAAGGTCGGACAGGGTTATTGAGCAGGTTCTGCACATGCGCTCCCATCTTTCGGATGTAGAAGCATAGCACCATGACTTGGCATAACAGCAACTCTTCGTACCAGAAGGCTAGCAACGTGCCAAAAAAAAGAAAAGACATAGAAGTTGCAGCAGCTAAAGCACAAACATTACCACGATCTTGTCGTGCAAACCTGTCCTGTGCCGACGAAGCCCTGAAGCAGAGCCGCGAAAGCTTGGGCCTTTTTATGTAAGGTTCAGGATCGTCTAACACGCAGACTAACACACAGACACCATAACGCAGATTTTGACCAACAAGCCCGAAGCCGCTGTTCCGGCCTATAGTTGGCCAGGCGTCCCAAAGCTAGGGCTGCTGACTGCCTTTGCTTTGGAGTCAGAGTCGTCGCGGCTTCGTGTCTTCAGCTACCGCTACTGCAGGCCTTTGCAGGGAGGGTGTTTCAAGCAAAATCTAGGGGTGAAGAGACATGCAGTCACAGGGAGAGCAACGAAGCAGAGGCACACAAAAAGCCGAGATCTAAAGTCGCGGAGACCTCAGGCCTAAAGTCCTAAAGCGGTACACCCTGTCTACCAAGACGACGACCCGGCGGTCTCGTGTTCCTGCTTGCGGCCTAGACGCTGGATGGAGGCCACATTATCCAGGAGCAGGGGACGCAAAAGCGCCATCACTCCTCAGAGCAGACTTGCGAGAAACAAGGGCTCTTGGTTTAATGTCACGTCTTGCAGACTTTGGGATCGAGGGTTTCGGAGTAGTTCGGTGATTTGCGAGGCTTCCTTGTCCCTGGCCCTGATGACAACAATCTGCAATTCGGAGTGCCCTGCCTGCATTCTGGAGTGCATCGATGTTCTGTGGGCGCGTCGCCTGCCGTACAGTAGCGGCTCAAAGTGCAAGTACTGCCAAAGGGGAAGATTAGAGCATCTTCGGACAGCGTTGTAAGCGAGGTGGTGCCACGAGGTCTGCCACAGTCTGGACGAAGGTCACGCGGGCCTTCGTGCAGGCGAAGACTGAGCAGCCTCTGTTGCATTCTCTGATCCACAGCATCACGCCGTCCTTCTGATATTCCTCAAACACCTGCAGTACGGCACGGCCTCGGAGAGCGTCGGAGATCATGAAAAAGTATTACTTCGATGACCCAGCAAAGCTTGGAGCTCAGGACGCCACTCATGGCTTCTGCCCTGAATCCTCTGCAAAAGAGAGGTGCGACAGGGACGGCACTTCTGAGAAAACGAGCTGCGGGCAAAGACGCGAGTTGGGTCCCTGCCCAGAAAAAACCGAAGCTGCACGCAGGCAATATCGTCAGGACCGGCTTAGAAACCTGAACGGCAGCAGTTTGCCAAGCTCTTTTCGCTAATTCCACGCTTTGGCGCGTTTCGCGCTGGGCTCTTCCGACACCTGTGGCCGGGACCCTTGGTCACCTGTCTAACGGAACCAGTGACCGGCGCTAGCGCAGTCTTGGGGGCTGGGCATCTTGAGTGTATCGAGCTGCTTCAGAGGATAAAACCAGTGCAAACCAAGCAAACCGCTGCAAGCGACGTGCTTGGCTGACACAAATATGTACAGGTCCCATGCTGACACAGATTTCGTCGTGTCGCATCCGAAAGCGAAGCCTTTACAAACCTAAAGCGGCAAGACCGGCATGTCAACTAAACTTGGCAAGGCAAGCAGCTTCACAGTCTGAGGGTTTTTCCCCCACTCGGCTCGCAAAGGCTACCAATGCACAGCGCAAGGCTTTAACGCTGACAGCCTCCTGAAACTCGGATGTCTGGAATTGCCCTTTCATGAGTAGCAGCTCCAAACCCACTACTCTTTTCATGCAGAGAAGCTCAGAGCATCAGTGATGCCAGTCATCACCTCTCGGAAACGACGAGCTTTCTGTACAGCTGTCCCACTGACATGCGAACCCTGGCCCCCGAACTGAAAGCCAAAAACACAAAGCAGGGTGGGACGTGCCTTCGGCCATTTGCCAGCTTCTCCTGCAATCTCTGTGATTCAAGTCTAGGCTGCAAAGCCACCATGCAGGCCCACGTTGGTCACCATGGGTAGCACTGGCCCCAACTTTCCTAAAGCGGTGCCTCTAGCCTGGAATAAGCGGCTCCTCTTGCGGCCACCCAGAGGCCACGGATATTCATGCCTTGGCATGCGAAATGGCTGTGGGGTGTTCTTAAGCCAGGGGTGTTGCAGACTTTCCAATTTTTAAGCCGCTTTGCGTTTGGCTCAGCTGGAGACAACCATCTGATACACCACAACTAAAAACGAAGCCCGAAGTCCCCAACACTCTTGCTGTCCACACTGAGTGCGCATAACTATATAGTGAAGATCGATGTTCCATGTTCGTGTAGGCACATGCATTTGTGCCCCAACACTTACTCTGCTCTAGCGAAAGCAAACTGAAAAAACTCACCTGCATCCTAGCTGCCAGCGGTGCGGAAGGCCCCTTAAACACTGATGAAGCTTAAGCGAGCCCCCGCAACCCTTGCACTTCCAACCTGTAGGTACATGCACATGCATACACATTATGCATATCTATCTATCTAACTATCTGTCTATGCATACACATACATACATACATACATACATACATGCATACGTACATGTATGTATGTATGTATGTATGTATTTATGTATGTATGTATGTATGTATGCATGTACGCATGTATGTGTATATATATATATATATATATATATATATATATATTTGTATATATTATGTACATATTCACTTCTGGGTTTTCGACCATTTCACGACCTTCCTGCTTAAAAGCGAAGGACCCCTGAGCTGCAAAGTTCTTGGGTTCTTGGGGGAAGCTTGGGAACTGAAAGCTTGAGCTGCCCCGGGCTTGCAGGTGTGTAGATCCCATCAGCGAGATGGCTTGTCACATAAGTCTGAAGATGCGTAGCATGCAGTATGGTCTGTGGTGGAGCTCGGAGATCGAGGGCATCATATCCCGCAGCCCTCCATCCCCAACGGCTGCATCCCTTCGGCTTGGCATCTTTTTCAAGCGACCTCTCGGGCATCTTCGGAGGTCCTGTCCTGCATCCTACGGTCGTAGGACGCTTTTTCGGGCATTGATAGGCCTTAGCCTCAGGCTCACTGAAAGATTCCAGCAGTCTGCTGATCGCTTTGGGAGTTCGATTTGTTGATGAGGAAGGTCACTCCTCCCTTCTTGAAGTCCTCAAAGGTCAGCTCCCTGTTGATGTAGTCCTGACAACCGGGTGTCCCGGCCAAGACTTCTCTGTAGAAGCGACCCAAAGCCATCACCTCCAGGCTGAATCAATTCATGGTCCGCTTTAGAAAAATACCCCACACAGGAAGACTACGCTATGACCAAGACTATCGGAGATACCGTAGACCCCAGAGCCCAGAAAGCCCACCTTCTTCTCGTCCTTGGCTTGTGTTAGCCAGAGAGCGATCTTGCTGATGCGGCTCCGTATGGAGACCACGGCCCCTGCGACGACCTCGCCGCCTTTGGGCAGGAAGGCCTCGCCGATGAGGGCCAACTCGACGGACAACCACAAATCATCCAACGTTTGCGCCCTCACCTTCTCGAGCTTCATGACCCAACGCCCCCCATTCTTCAGAGCGGCATCCTCCCACGCTGGTGTGATGCCCTCCTTGAAAAGCGAGTAATCCACATGCTCCATTTTCGAAGGTGGGTAGGCATGGTGGTACATGCACCAGAAGTCCTCCGCCGTCTTGAAGGAGTGAACCGACCGCTGGCTTTCGTTCCACGCCTGACCCGACTGGTGGGCCTTCTCCCCTTGCTGATGCAGCCACAAACACCATCGATGTTGAAGCTCGTGTTTCAGCGGCGGCGGGGGTCCGTCCTGTGAGTCCGCCTGTTCCGGCTGTTCCGGCTCCTGAGCCTCCGCCGTCTCCAAGCCGGTCGCCATGTGGGCCTACGCAGCCCCGGGGTTCTGCCTACGCACTCGAGGCAACGTCTAGCGGCGAGCAAACCGAGCAACGGTCACGCAGCAACACAGAGGCTGCGAAAGGAAGCGAACAGAAGGAGAAGACATGACATGAAATGACATGGGCTACAGGGCTACCGCGACGCGGCTGGGCACTCGAGGCTCGACTCGGATGGCTCTCGAGGTTCCTGCCAGACGTCCTCCTCCTCCGACTCCTGGGCTCAGAGGCCGGAGCTCTCTCTCCCGAGCTGGGCATAGGCCTAGGTGAGGTAAAAGCCTCGCCTCAGGCAGAGCGACCCCCTTGTGCCTTGCGCATCTTGCGCCCTCTACCTCGATGATTCCTTCAGTTCCGCGAAGTCTCGAGGGAGAATATCTACATATGTCTACACAGACCTACCCCTACAAGCATCTCCTGCTCCAGCATGTCCAACTGCACCCAGGCGGTGAAAGCGGTGACAGCGGCCCAGACAAGGCAACCAGCAGCGGGCCACTTCCATCCTAGCGGGGAAGATCATGGCAATGCTAGGAACGGCCTATTGAAGAACGATAATCAACACAAAACAGGGCTTCGTGTGTTTTGGCTTCCTGACATCTTTCGGCTGACCGTCCCCAACTGATTACTTTTCGGTGGGATCCCTGCAGCTTGGGATTGTGGGAGGAAGACATGAGCCATCCTTTGAGGGCCATTCCGGCTTCCACCTGTCCACGCAAGTTTCGTGAGACCTGCTAACTAGAAGCCAGTGTAGCAGGGCTGCTGTTCAGGAAGTGTTCCATGTGGAAACTGCCGTTGACAAACACTCGGAGTTTGGAAAGCCCATGGAATCAACCACTCAGCGACCCCAAGCCGGGAGGCACCCAACGCGTGCTGGGCGTTGGACCTTCGCCAGGAACGGCCCACTCCGGGCCTCCGATACGGCGCGCATTGTGAAAACCGCAATGCTGCCCCGTTTACACGTTACAAGCAGCACGCACGGGACATACCCCTATGCTCTCCTTGGGAACCTCAAGACCACATGTGAGCAACGAAATCGTGCCCCTCACAGTGAATTGCTACCACACTGCCTGACGACGCTTGGTGTCGAAATATCTGAATGGCTTACAAGCTCTTCATCATGCTTTGGATACGCGTCTCTACTTGATCTTGTAATCCTAAACCCTAAACCCCTTGTTCCCTGGACCCTAAACCCTAAAACCCCGAGGTCCCGGCAGCTGGATCTGTCGCTGCTCGACTTACACGCGAGGTGGGCCAGGGCCTCGACGAGGGAACCCTCTCAAAAAAGTTCGGGCACCGATTATTTCGGATCTGCCGCTCGGGGCTTCGTAGCTGGGGGCAGCCGAGATGTGTTGGTTTCTCTCAAAGCCAACCCGACGTTTCGGCTCAAAGCAAAGCACTCAAAGACAGACAGAGAGGTGTGCGGGGCGATTTTGCTATCTGAGTGTGGCACCAGGTGATGTAAGCCACATACACGCAGACCAACCAGCTGAGTTCAAGCAACTGTGCAAAGACCGAGTGCATCGCCGTAAGAACAATGGGGGCCGCCAGCAAGGCCTCAAATGACGGACTCGAGTTGAGGCGCTTAAGAATGACTTGCTAGGAATTCTTGTGGGTGCTGTGAAAAGACTTCATTGTTCTTCATCGAGTGCTGCAGAGTCAGCGATGCTTGTTTGGCCACTCGACATCTACACGGCAAGACACCAAGGGTTAGCACCTGGACGAGGCGCTGAAGCAACTAAGAACACGGCAACGGCCATCGGGCGTCGTGAGTCATCGAACTCGTTTACAGCTGCTGCAACGAAAACCGAAGAGCCATACCTGGGCTGGTGTTGCACGGGCTCTCTGGGCTCTCTGCTGGTCGGTAGGATCTTGAGGCGAGTCGCAGTACGATTTCGCAATAAAGGTATGGCTTTGGAATGAATCATTCTACAAGTATCAGTTCTGACAACGGCATAAATTCGTGCGCCCACACACATATACATAAATACACACACCAGCACTTTGACCGGCGAACACATGCATGCATGCTTGCGCACAAACACACACACACATGCCAAACCTACCTACCTACGTACATACATACATGTGTATATATATATATATATACATACACCCTTATACGTGCATATGTTCATGGATGCAGACAGACAGACAGCCAGGCAGGCAGGCAGACAGACAAAAGCAAATGTACATACATATACACATTTACACATACACACATCTCTATACATACATACATACATACATACATACATACATACATACATATATATATATATATATGCGAATACATGTGAATACATATAACATACAAATACACACATTGGTTTGACTGCTCGATCTCTCAATACTTTGCACTACTACGACACGGACAACCAGTAGGCGTAAAAACAAACTCACGAGGTCCGGGCAATGCCAGGGAAGACGTGCCACTTAGGCCAAGCAGGGCGGCTGCGGCCGTGGACCAGGACCTTCACGGGCCAGCAAGGTTTGCGGACCAAAGCCACGGTGGTTCGATACCACCAACAACATCAGCGGCAGCACCCTGCATTGTCTTTACCCTCATTCTCACACGCATTACCATCTCCATCGTCATCATCATGAACCCCACCTTACACCTTCTCTCCATTATCAATCATCACGAGATGATCATTTTAAAGTGCTTGAGATTAGCAGGCTCACGTTACTGAGGAGTGAACAACTCAGGATTCAGGATTCGAGGAGCCGAGGAGCTGGGCTCACACAACAGCTCGGGCAAAGGCTCATGGCCCCGTGGCAGGAAAGGTGTCCGCAGCCCGGCTTCGCAAACGAGAACGCCCACCTTGAACGTCAGAACTCGATCCGTTTCCATAACTCAGACACAGAAGAGGAGTCGAGAAACCGCACAAAACCACGAGAGATTACTGAGTGTTCGGCGCCGGAGGCTGTGAGAAGACCGCCAAGCATAGGAGCCAGGCACGCTAGCATCTGAGCGTCTCCAAAGCAGGAAATGGCACGGAGTTCACATCACTTCAGTTGCTCTTGCCCAACAGCAACACCTCAATCACGACTTTTTCGGAAAGCACCATGTTGTCAGTTGTTACCTCGGCCGCACTTCGCTCGCTGACCTGCGCACGATCGAAGCGTCAACCCAAAACAGAAGAGCCGGAAACTGCAGTATCCAGTCCGCGCACACTGACACCCTGTCGCATGTCGCTGAGTCGATGTGCGACCTTGCGTTAGTGCTGCGCTGGGTCTGTTGGGGTCAAAGCAGCATGGCGAAGATTGCGAAAACCAGGCCTCTATGCAGATGTTCAAGCTTTGCCTAGTTGTAGTCACACTTCGTCCCCGACAGCTCCCTCTCTGCATCCAACGAAGCTCCATCTTCGGGCTCCGGTTCAGAAGGGTTGGAACGAGGCTTTTGGGCCAATGCAAGCAAACCTACGGAGTGCAGAGCTCTACCATGTTTCTTGCGCTCACCTCCTTGAATGTGTTGGGCATAGGACCCTTCGCACGACTTCAAGGACCTTGAATTCCCACGCAGGGTCCAATGCTCAACGCGCGTGAGCGCATCTCCGTAATATGGGTTGGAACTTCAGAACTCAACCCTAGAACGATTTGGACCCTTGCGAACTGGCACGTCCTGGATGGCCAGCTGAATAGAAAGAAGCTCCCAACCTGAATCTTGGAATCTTGCACCGTCCTGCTAGCCTCGCCATGACGATCGCCCAATTCGAGACAGTGGCGTGGACGGTGAACAATGGAACAATGCACCACGGCTGATTTGCAATTCGATTCAACGACCTGTGGCAAAATGGCTTGGACCTTCCTGCTTGCATCTCAAAAGGGTACAAGTACCTTCTTTCACCAAGCCAGGCGGAGATTTTGTGGCTAAGCTGATGACTATTGGAGTCAACTGAAGACGGCTTGCGACCCCCAGAACAGATGCGACGTCGTGTCACTGCGGCAGCCAAGGCAGCCGAGCGCTACGCCGTGGAGGTGGAAGTGCTGCTGAAAGACTTGGGTCTGAGAGCTCTCAGATACCCAGGTCTTTCAGCATCATCTTTATGTCAATGACGTAGTGCTCGGCTTCTGCAGCTTCGCCGTCTCACGACACCTCTCTTCCCCCTCACTATCGTGCCCCCTTGCTCTCCGCTACCGGTTGCTTGGTGTGCCCTGCCGCAGGATGCTGCAGGAAAGCATCGGGAAGTGCGAGCTGCATTTCTTCGTCCAAGGACTCCCGCTTCTTTCGACCATCCAGGCCGGCATGCCTGACCAAACTTCACCCTGCTACCGAGGAGCAGCCCAGGCTCGAACCTACTCTACTCCATCCAGCTGCGGACGGGCCAGATTCGAGCCTCTTGCGGGCCACACGGAGAGGACTTGCACGAAGCACCGTGCACCATGCTGAGAAAGGGCCGAAGTTAAAATCAAGGGCTTCAGACGACAAGATCTCAAGCGATTGATCTGCAATGCACAAGTCCAGGAAGGGCAGATGCTCGCGACTGCAACTGCCGACAGCCTGCTTGAGGTCAAATGGGTGGGCCCGATCAGGTTACCGAACGGCCCTGGTGAGACCGAACCTCTGACCATCTCCCTCTGCTGGATTGCAGACAAACTTAATGACCAGCTGGCGTTTCCCTACGAACGCTCCTGGCGTCTCCTGCTCAATTTTAGCAAACAACTCAGGGCGCAACGGGACGTCTCCATGTCGTGAAGACCAGGACTCCAAACCTCGGGTCGATTACGCCGAAGATGCAGTGTCTCACAGGCACGTGATACTAAGAATCCCCCTCCCCTTTGAAGATCTTGGCTCCGCACACGGCGCCCACGATGTACCTCGGACTTCAGCCCCAACTGCGAACTTCAAACTCACTGCGGCAGAAAAACGGCTTGAGAGCTCGGGCTGGGGAGGCGCACCAACAGATCGAAAGCCCAGGCAGTTGTGCGTCCATGGGCTTGGTCCATGCCTCTGCTTGGACGACAACGTCTCGACTGTTTTGGAGTG